GTGTGTGACTCTGTGCGGAGTGTGACCCTGTGCGGTGTGTGACCCTGTGCGGTGTGTGACCCTGTGCGGAGTGTGACTCTGTGCGGTGTGTGACCCTGTGCGGTGTGTGACCCTGTGCGGAGTGTGACCCTGTGCGGAGTGTGACTGTGCGGAGTGTGACTGTGCGGAGTGTGACCCTGTGCGGTGTGTGACCCTGTGCGGTGTGTGAGTGTGTGTGGTGTGTGACTCTGTGCGGTGTGTGAGTGTGTGAGGCCCTGTGCGGAGTGTGACTCTGTGCGGTGTGTGACCCTGTGCGGAGTGTGACCCTGTGCGGAGTGTGACCCTGTGCGGAGTGTGACCCTGTGCGGAGTGTGACCCTGTGCGGAGTGTGACCCTGTGCGGAGTGTGACCCTGTGCGGAGTGTGACCCTGTGCGGAGTGTGACCTGTGCGGAGTGTGACCCTGTGCGGAGTGTGACCCTGTGCGGAGTGTGACTGTGCGGAGTGTGACCCTGTGCGGTGTGTGAGTGTGTGGTGTGTGACTCTGTGCGGTGTGTGAGTGTGTGAGGCACTGTGCGGTGTGTGACTCTGTGCGGAGTGTGACTCTGTGCGGAGTGTGACCCTGTGCGGAGTGTGACTCTGTGCGGAGTGTGACCCTGTGCGGTGTGTGACCCTGTGCGGAGTGTGACCCTGTGCGGAGTGTGACCCTGTGCGGTGTGTGACCCTGTGCGGTGTGTGAGTGTGTGTGACTCTGTGCGGAGTGTGACCCTGTGCGGAGTGTGACTCTGTGCGGAGTGTGACTCTGTGCGGAGTGTGACCCTGTGCGGAGTGTGACCCTGTGCGGAGTGTGACCCTGTGCGGAGTGTGACCCTGTGCGGAGTGTGACTCTGTGCGGAGTGTGACCCTGTGCGGAGTGTGACCCTGTGCGGAGTGTGACCCTGTGCGGAGTGTGACTGTGCGGTGTGTGACTCTGTGCGGAGTGTGACTCTGTGCGGAGTGTGACTGTGCGGTGTGTGACTCTGTGCGGAGTGTGACCCTGTGCGGAGTGTGACCCTGTGCGGAGTGTGACTGTGCGGAGTGTGACTCTGTGCGGAGTGTGACTCTGTGCGGAGTGTGACCCTGTGCGGAGTGTGACCCTGTGCGGAGTGTGACCCTGTGCGGAGTGTGACTGTGCAGTGTGTGACTCTGTGCGGAGTGTGACTCTGTGCGGAGTGTGACCCTGTGCGGAGTGTGACCCTGTGCGGAGTGTGACCCTGTGCGGAGTGTGACTGTGCAGTGTGTGACTCTGTGCGGAGTGTGACTGTGCGGAGTGTGACTCTGTGCGGTGTGTAACTCTGTGCGGTGTGTGACTCTGTGCGGAGTGTGACCCTGTGCGGAGTGTGAGTGTGCGGAGTGTGACTGTGCGGAGTGTGACCCTGTGCGGAGTGTGACTGTGCGGAGTGTGACTCTGTGCGGTGTGTAACTCTGTGCGGTGTGTGACTGTGCGGTGTGTGACCCTGTGCGGTGTGTGACCCTGTGCGGAGTGTGAGTGTGCGGTGTGTGACCCTGTGCGGTGTGTGACCCTGTGCGGAGTGTGACTGTGCGGAGTGTGACTCTGTGCGGTGTGTAACTCTGTGCGGTGTGTGACTCTGTGCGGAGTGTGACCCTGTGCGGAGTGTGACCCTGTGCGGAGTGTGACTCTGTGCGGAGTGTGACTCTGTGCGGTGTGTGACCCTGTGCGGAGTGTGACTCTGTGCGGAGTGTGACTCTGTGAGGTGTGTGACCCTGTGCGGAGTGTGACTCTGTGCGGAGTGTGACCCTGTGCGGAGTGTGACTCTGTGCGGAGTGTGACCCTGTGCGGAGTGTGACCCTGTGCGGAGTGTGACCCTGTGCGGAGTGTGACCCTGTGCGGAGTGTGACTGTGCGGAGTGTGACCCTGTGCGGAGTGTGACCCTGTGCGGAGTGTGACTGTGCGGAGTGTGACTCTGTGCGGAGTGTGACCCTGTGCGGAGTGTGACCCTGTGCGGAGTGTGACTCTGTGCGGAGTGTGACTCTGTGCGGTGTGTGACCCTGTGCGGAGTGTGACTCTGTGCGGAGTGTGACCCTGTGCGGAGTGTGACCCTGTGCGGAGTGTGACTCTGTGCGGTGTGTGACCCTGTGCGGTGTGTGAGTGTGTGTGACTCTGTGCGGTGTGTGACCCTGTGCGGTGTGTGAGTGTGTGTGACCCTGTGCGGAGTGTGACCCTGTGCGGAGTGTGACCCTGTGCGGAGTGTGACTCTGTGCGGAGTGTGACTCTGTGCGGAGTGTGACTCTGTGCGGAGTGTGACCCTGTGCGGAGTGTGACTCTGTGCGGAGTGTGACCCTGTGCGGAGTGTGACCCTGTGCGGAGTGTGACTCTGTGCGGTGTGTGACCCTGTGCGGTGTGTGAGTGTGTGTGACTCTGTGCGGTGTGTGACCCTGTGCGGTGTGTGAGTGTGTGTGACCCTGTGCGGAGTGTGACCCTGTGCGGAGTGTGACCCTGTGCGGAGTGTGACTCTGTGCGGAGTGTGACTCTGTGCGGAGTGTGACTCTGTGCGGAGTGTGACCCTGTGCGGAGTGTGACCCTTGCGGAGTGTGACTCTGTGCGGAGTGTGACTCTGTGCGGAGTGTGACTCTGTGCGGAGTGTGACCCTGTGCGGTGTGTGACCCTGTGCGGAGTGTGACCCTGTGCGGTGTGTGACCCTGTGCGGAGTGTGACCCTGTGCGGAGTGTGACCCTGTGCGGAGTGTGACTCTGTGCGGAGTGTGACTCTGTGCGGAGTGTGACTCTGTGCGGAGTGTGACTCTGTGCGGAGTGTGACCCTGTGCGGAGTGTGACCCTGTGCCGTGTGTGACCCTGTGCGGAGTGTGACTCTGTGCGGAGTGTGACCCTGTGCGGAGTGTGACTCTGTGCGGAGTGTGACTCTGTGCGGAGTGTGACTCTGTGCGGAGTGTGACTCTGTGCGGTGTGTGACCCTGTGCGGAGTGTGTGGTGTGTGAGTGTGTGACCCTGTGCGGTGTGTGACTCTGTGCGGTGTGTGACTCTGTGCGGTGTGTGAGTGTGTGTGACCCTGTGCGGTGTGTGACTCTGTGCGGAGTGTGGCCCTGTGCGGTGTGTGACCCTGTGCGGTGTGTGACCCTGTGCGGAGTGTGACTCTGTGCGGAGTGTGACTCTGTGCGGAGTGTGACTCTGTGTGGTGTGTGAGTGTGTGCGGTGTGTGACCCTGTGCGGTGTGTGGCTCTGTGCGGAGTGTGGCCCTGGGCGGGGCAGCTGGCACTCACACCTCCTCTCTGTGGACAGAACGGGGCCCTGAAGATCATCGACAGGAAGAAGCACATATTCAAGCTGGCGCAGGGGGAGTACATCGCGCCCGAGAAGATCGAGAACATCTACCTGCGCAGCGAGCCGGTGGCCCAGGTGTTCGTGCACGGGGAGAGCCTGCAGGTGGGTGCCCGAGCCTGTCGGGGGACGGCTCTCGCTGACCTCAGTGTCCCGGGCCTGCGAGCTGGGACAGGGCAGGGCCGGCAGTCAGCGCCGTCTGTGTTACAGGCCTTCCTCGTGGCCATCGTGGTCCCCGACGCGGAGACGCTGGGCCGCTGGGCGGGGAAGCGGGGCCTGTCTGGGTCCTTCGAGGAGCTGTGCCGCAGCAAGGTGAGGCAGGGCGCGGGCCGAGGGCCGGGGAGGGGGCCGAGGGCCCGGGGAGGGGGCCGAGGGCCCGGGGGGGGGGCCGAGGGCCCGGGGAGGGGGGGACTGAGGGCCCGGGGAGGGGGCCGAGGGCCCGGGGGGGGGGGCCGAGGGCCAGGGGAGGGGGGGCCGAGGGCCCGGGGAGGGGGACTGAGGGCCCGGGGAGGGGGGGCCGAGGGCCCGGGGAGGGGAGACTGAGGGCCCGGGGAGGGGGCCGAGGGCCCGGGGAGGGGGGGCCGAGGGCCCGGGGAGGGGGACTGAGGGCCCGGGGAGGGGGGCCGAGGGCCCGGGGAAGGGGGCTGAGGGCCCGGGGAGGGGGGGGGCTGAGGGTCCGGGGAGGGGGGGGGCTGAGGGTCCGGGGAGGGGGGGGGCTGAGGGCCCGGGGAGGGGGGGCTGAGGGCCCGGGGAGGGGGGGCTGAGGGCCCGGGGAGGGGGGGGCTGAGGGCCCGGGGAGGGGGGCCGAGGGCCCGGGGAGGGGTCCGAGGGCCCGGGGAGGGGGGCCGAGGGCCCGGGGAGGGGGGGCGAGGGCCCGGGGAGGGGGGGCTGAGGGCCCGGGGAGGGGGCTGAGGGCCCGGGGAGGGGGCTGAGGGCCGAGGGTCCGGGGAGGGGGCCGAGGGCCCGGGGAGGGGACCGAGGGCCCGGGGAGGGGGGGCCGAGGGCCCGGTGCAGGCGTGGGGCCTCCCCCGGGCTGAGCCTCATCCTCTCTCCTCAGGAGGTCAAGAAGGCCATCCTGGAGGACCTGGTGCGGCTGGGGAAGGAGTCCGGCCTGAAAACATTCGAGCAGGTGAGGCTTCCCGGAGGTGCCTCCGCCCTGTAACACACAGAGGGGGAGGAGGGCACTGGGCGGCGGGTGGGGGGTTCTCACAGAGGGGGGGAGGGAGGAGGGTACTGGGCGGCGGGTGGGGGGTTCTCTCACAGAGGAGGGGAGGGAGGAGGGCACTGGGCGGCGGGTGGGGGGTTCTCTCACAGAGGGGGGAGGAGGGCACTGGGCGGCGGGTGGGGGGTTCTCTCACAGAGGGGGGAGGAGGGCACTGGGCGGCAGGTGGGGGGGTTCTCTCACAGAGGGGGGGGGAGGGCACTGGGTGGTGGGTTGGGGTTGGGGGGTTCTCACAGAGGGGAGGGTGGCTGGGGGGTTCTCACAGAGGGGAGGGTGGGGGGGGTTCTCTCACAGAGGGTCAATTCTCTTCCTGGAGCTCAGGGGACGGTCCTGGCCTCTGTCCTCTTCCCTTGAAGAGAGGTTGGGAGCCAGAGGCGAGAGGGGGGCTGGGACCAGCATCGGGGCCTGACCCCCTGGAGGCTCAGGTGCTTGTGGGCCTGGGGTCCCCCGGGCCCTCCTCCCCTAATAAACGGCCTTGCTGATCGGCAGGTCAAAGGCATCACGCTGCACCCCGAACTGTTCTCCATCGAGAACGGCCTCCTGACCCCCACGATGAAGGCGAAGCGGCCGGAGCTCCGGAACTACTTCCGGTCGCAGATAGACGAACTCTATTCCACCATCAAGGCTTAGGAGGAGGAGCGCCGGGCAGAAGCCACACCTCCGTCCTCTCCGGTGGCCTTCACGGGCGATCTGACTGCCGAGCGTAGGGGGGCCGTGTGACGTGTGCGCTGGGTCTTGTCGTAGGAAACTTAGGGGTCGCCGGGCGAGGCGGGCCGTGCGCCCGCGGGGGGACGCGCCACCTCCAAAACGAGCCTTAACCGTGGTCCAGGGAAGCCTTCCGTGGGCCGGGTTCCTCGCGGCTCCCCGGGGCAGAAGGCCACAAGGTCTGTCTCCCCGCGGGTCTAACCGGGGGGCAGGCCTTGCTCTTTCTGACCGTCTGCTGCTTGCTGCCCGCCCCGCGGCGCCCGGAGGAACTGCCCCCACGAACAGCCGTCGGCCGGAGACTGTCACACGTGGACCAGAGATTGTTTGATCCCCGGCCCCTCCCCCGTCCACCCTCCACACACACACACACACACACACACACACACACACACACGCACGCACCTGCGCTTCCTCCCCGCTCCGTCGTGCCTGTCGGCGTGGGCGCGGGCACTCCCAGGGCGAGGGGGCGTGGGCGCCCACCGGGCAGGAGCAGGGTGCTCCCGGGCTCCCTGTCCGCCCTCCCCCCCTCCGTCCCCGGGGCCCTGAGAAAAGCTGCCTTACCCTCCACAGTGAGGACGAGCATTTCAAGAAGGAAAGACTCACCCGGCCAGACCACGCTCAACTGTGACCCTCGGCACCTGTCCGCTCGCCCCCACGGGCACCCCTGTGTGTGCGGCTCCCGTGTCGGACGTGCACGTGTGATTCCCCGGCTCTTCCCCAGAGCGAGCTCGGGCGAGGCGTGTCCTGGAGGCCGAAGGGAGGGGACAGGTGTGGGCGCGGATGGAAACGGACGGCAGTGAGCTCGCTCTCCTCCAGCGCGCGGCCTGGCTCCTGTGAGATGCTCCGGCCGGACCCTCGGCTTCCGGGAGCCACGGCCCCGGGCCTTCTTCACGATCGTTTGGGAAACGAGCAGCGTTTCGCCGGTCCTGCCGCCGGCCCTGGCCCCGGGCGCCCCGAGTCGGCTGTCCGGCCCTGAGCGGTCGCTGCTGGGTGTGGGCACGCACGGCCCGCCCTGTGACACTCTCCGAGCTAACCCGAGTGTGTGTTCCTCACCGCACAAGCGTCAGTCACTCGTCACCTGGGGTTTGGAATGTTTGCTTTAAGTGTTGGCTATTTCTATGTTTTATAAAACCAAAACAGAATTTCCAAAAACAATGAAGGAAACCAAAATAAATATTTCTGCATTTCACGGGAGTGGCGCGTCTGTTTTCAGGGCGGGAGTGACATTGGGGCAGCAGGCCTGGCCCTGGGCCTCTAGGGACACTGCCTCCTCCTCCCCACCCCCACCCCCACCCCCACGTCCTCCTCCTGACCACCCCTCTCCTCCTCCTCCCGCCCCCTCCTCCCGCCTCCCCTAATGCGTCACGCACAGCTCGCTGAAGGCCTGCAGGGTGTGGAGAAGCAGCCATGGAGGGAATAAGGAGCATCGCCTTGGAGATGCTCTCTGCTGGAAAGCCCCTTCGGGAGATGCCGCTGGAGGGCTGGTTCCGTGCTGTGCTGGGCCGGACTCGGCTGTGTGCAGTCAGCCCGCCTGTTCTCTCCCCGGCCTAGCACTGGTTTCAGAGCAGCAGCCTGGCCTGTGTCCTTCCTCTATCCCTGTCCCACCCACACTTGTCCTTATGTGAATTAATCAGCCCTCAATTTCTCTTTAAAACTTTTCTGGTTTGCTTTTTTTTTTTTTTTAATTGATTTCAGAGAGGAAGGGAGAGAGAGAGAGAGATAGAAACACCAATGATGAGAGAATCATCGCCTTGCAGGACTGGAACCTCCTTTCTCCTCCCTGTCCCTCCCTCCCCCCTTTTCCCTCCCCCCAGGCGGCCACGGGCTACTCGGCCTCCAAGACTCTGGCTTCTTTCAAACAGGGTCGTTCAGCCTGTGTCCGTCAGTGACCTCGGCACAACGTCCCCAGGCTCCCCTGTGCTGTGGGATGTGCCCGCATTTCCTGGCAGGAGGCTGAGTGGCATCCCAGTGTGTGTACACCACGTCTTGTCGATCCATTCATCGCTGGTGGACGCTCGTGGTTCCCGCCTTCTGGGTATTGTGACAGGCGCTGCTGTGAGCGTGGCCGTGCCCGTGCCGTCTCAGCCCCCGCTCCCATTTCTTCGGGGATCCGTCCAGAAACAGGACCATCGGGTCAGGCCGTGATTCTGTGTGGACGCTTTCTGAGGAACGGCCGTACCGTTTTCCACATTTCACATCGGCAGTGCGCACTCCACAGCCTCACTTACCCTTGTTGATTTCTGCGTTTTGTTGTTTTTCAGCACATACAGCAGCCGTCCTAACGGGCGCGCACACAGTGGGGTCTCATGGTGGTTTCGATGCATTTTCTTGGTGACGCTAAAGTTGAGGGTCCGTTCTGTGCTCATGGCCCATCTGTGTGTCTTCTTCTGGAGAAATGCCTAAGTCCTTTGCCCATTTTAAGAATTGGGTTGTTTGTTATTGAGCTGTAGGAGTTCTTTAAATATTATGAGGATTAATCCCTAAAATACTTAACAATTTTTTTTAACACTTTTTTCTTGATTTCAGAGAGAGAGAGAGAGAGAGAGAGAGAGAAACATCAATAAGAGAGATCATTGATTGGCTGCCTCCTGCATGCCCCACACTGGGATTGAGCTCACAACCTGGGCATGTGCCCTGACCCAGAATCAAACCCTGACCTTCCGGTTCACAGATCAATGCTCAACCACTGAGCCACGCCGGCCGGGCCCTTTCAGGTTCTTCACTTGCATGGTGCACTGTTGGGGCAGTGCCTGCTCCCCTACAGCGCCATGATGGTCCTCCACCAACCCCCACCCCCCAAATCAAAACTGCGCCCCCAAAGCCCGTGGTCTCTGTCTCAGACCTTCTCTCCAGAAGGCCCCTTGTGTGCTAAGCTCCTTTGAGGAACTGCCTCTCAGCCGTGTGGGCTCAGCCTGAGCCCAGAGGCCCAGGTGGGAAGTGCTGATGGAGCCGAGGTCGCCCTGCTGTCTTGAGCTCATCCCTGCAGCTCAGCCACGACACACCCTCACATTCTCAGCTCCAAAATACGGCTGGTTTTTGAGTATATTTGGCATTGGGTAGTCACGTATTTTAGTCTCACTCTCCGTTACCAGATTCCTTGGAATAGGACCCTGAAGTATGAGGCGTAAAGGTTGCTGCACCAGGCACCATGCTTACATCTTACACAGATGCCCCATGTCGTGTCAAAACCCTCCGAGCCAGATGTGACCACTGTCCCATCGCACAGACGAGGTCATCGAGGCACGCCAGCCGTCTGGCCCGTGTGGGCCCGGGTGGGACTGGAGCCGGGCTGCCTGGCCTAGAACAGCCGTGGCCTCTGGCTGCGGACGCTCTGGTCTGCCTTTGGCCGTGAACTTGCTGACAGAACGTGTGGCTGGGCTGCTGCTGGTGCCAGTCGTGCTGCTGAGCTCCCAGCACGGGGCCTGGGCTCCTCAGGATTGGCCTTTGTGCCCGAGGGGCTTGTGGTCCGGCATCTGGCTCATCAAAGTGACATGTGGCTGCGCTCAGTGACGCCGGGAACCCCGGTCCTTAAGGACCCAAACTTGGGTAGGACCGGCTGCTCTGCTTCCAGGGGAGGCCGGGGGAAAGCCGGTCACAGACACAGCAGGTTCATGAGGCCCCTGGGAGGGCCTGAGATCGCAACACGCTGCCCCGCAGTCTGCTTAGGTGCCCGTGTCCTTCTCGCCACCCCTAGGAGGGCAGGGTCGTCAGCCGGACGGGGGGCTCCGGGACACGTGGACAGGCAGCAAGAGGGCCCCAAACAGAGCCTGTGCCCTTGGTGCTTGATCGAAGTTGAAGAAGGAGCCGTGGCAGGAAGGAGGACTGCCTGCGGGAGAGGAGGGGACCCGGGAGTGTGCGCTCCCCGAAGCCCGGAGAGGAAGCTGCTCAGGGAGGGGCCGGGGTCAGTCCTGCCCCGCGCCCCCAGGCTGGCGGGAGGGGAAGGCGGTGGGGACAGGAGCGGCTGCTGGGCTGGCAATGCTGGTGTCATGCTGGTGTGGGCAGCGCGGGGAGCCCAGAGCCGGGGCGGAGTGAGCGGAGGCAGAACTGGGGGACCGACAGCTCCTCTTTGTTGTTGTTTATTTTTTGTTCATTTTGTTTGTTTTCCTGTGAAGGACATCAGAGGAAAGGACGGTGCCCTGAGAAAGAGGGAGGCTGGGAGGCTGCTGCTGGTGCTGGTGGTGCAGGTTTTTAAGACGGGAGATGGGAGAACAGCATCACACTGTGCCCATGAGAAGGGTCCTGGGGTGTGGCGGGGGTCGGGGGGAGAAAAGGGAAAAGTTCAGAAAAGGGGGGAGGCTGCCCTGGGACGGGGAGATGGGCCGATAGGGACCCCTCCTGTCACAGTGTGTGTGTGTGGGGGGGAGGATGTGGAGGTGTATACGCACAGGTATAAGTAGATCAGGGTGCTGGGCAGGAACAGTGGGAGCCTCTATCTTCCCACTGAAGTGCTGTCCTTGCTGTGGACCAGGAAGCGGAGCCCCGAGATCTCGGTGTTGCCATGAGTCCTCAGGGGCAGCCGAGCCCTCCAAGGGGAATACACCTGCTCCCTGGCCAAGCCCTGGGCTAGAGCAGATGCCCATGCTGCGTACGGACTCACTCCACCGAGCGTGGGCACCGGAGAGCGGCCCCCGCTGCTCCCTGCCCGCACAGCCAGCCCAGGAGACGTCACAGCCGGGCCTCTCGCCCCCACACGCACCGCAGGCTCAGATGGGGAATTCTCAGCCCGGTCCGGGGGTCAGAGGGCTCTGTTCTTGCCGGAAACAGGTGGGGTTTCATGGACGTTCTTGGCCACTCCCTGCTGCTGAGGTGTTTCAGTGGACGAACTCCTGGCCGTCAGATCTCCCTGACAGGACACGTCCTTGCTGACCGTTAAGGCCACTGCTTTTCCCCCCAAGAACCCGGGCAGGCTCCTGCTCGGCCTGTGGCTTGTTGGGGTGGGAGGGGAGGGGGTGTGCCATCGGTGCCAGCTGCAGGGACGCCCACAGGCGCAGGCCACACGGGAGGCGCGAGTGAAACCAGTCGGCTCACATGCTGCAACGTGCGGGCGCAGAGGAACCCCGTTTCTGAGCCCTGGTTCCCACACCCCCACACTGCTCCCTCCGCCCGCCTCTGCCGCCTGCCCGCCCCGCCCGCCAGCTGCCCGGGGCGCCCCCGCGGCTTCACACACCGCCTCTGCCTGTCTCCTGGCCAGGAGCTGTGCGCTGGCCGGGTCTCCCTGGCGGCTGCACCGGCTCTGGACCGACCTCCATGTCCTGATGGGTCCCAGGAGCTGCCTCCCGTTCCCAGACTCCAAGCAACAAGGGTTTTTCTGAGTCACCGTCTTGCCACGGGGTCCCCTGCTCTGTCGTTCAGAGGCTTCCGACAGCTCTGGGCCAGAGCCGGGGGGCGTTCCTTCTCGAACTCACTGTGCGCCCACCCCGGGACCGGAGAGCCGGGGTTCTGATCCAGTCATTCTGGACGCTGGCCCGAAATTCTGCACTTCGAATAAGCTCCAGGCGATGCTCACACTGCTGTTTCTCTACCAGTGGTCGGCAAACTCACTAGTCAGCAGAGCCATGTAGCAACAGGACAATGACTGACATTCCTTCGGAGAGCCACATTGCTTAAACTTAAACCTCTTATAACGCCACTTTTTCAGCATAGACTCACCCAGGCCGTGGTATTTTGTGGAAGAGCCACACTCAAGGGGCCAGACAGCTGCGTGTGGCTCTCGAGCCGCAGTTTGCCGACCACGGCCCTAGCCTCATTGTTTGCTGTGTCCCCAGCTCTGTTCCAGCCACACTGACCTTCCAGCTCCCAGAAGGCTCCCTGCTCCGGCTCCCCGCCGCGCCTGTGCAGCCTTCCTCCCAGGAGCACGCCCTCCCCCTGGCCCGGGGGCTCCTCCTCCATCGCAGGGACAATGTGGGGGTCCCTCTGGCCTTCTCTGACCGGGGAGCTCAGCGGTGAGCGGTGGAGGGGGGAGGGGGTAGTGATCCCTCTACCTGTGCCAAGGTCAAAGGGGAGAGTCGGCGAGCCCGGGCGTTTCAGGGCAGAGCCGGAGCGTGGGGGAACTCCGTCCTCCTGAAGGTCACCCCAAGGCTCCCTGTCCCCGGGGCTCGGGAAGCCTGTCTCCCTGAGCAGGTTGGTGTCCGATGGGTCTCCCACCGCTCAGGTCTCGGGGAGCAGGAAGGATCCCTGAATAAAGACAGCAGCTGCCCGGGGCTCTGCACCAGGCCAGCCACACCCCTGCCTGCGGCCTGAGGCCGCGAGAACGGGTATCCTGGGAGCAAGGTCACTGAAGGGTGAAAACTTTTAAGCTTGAGTGAGGGTCATGGAGACGCGTCTCTTCCGGAGAAACCTTATTCTGGGACCCCTCCTCCCTTCTTTTCTTTTTTTATTAAATTATTATCTGTGTACATATTAAATTCTTATCTGTGTACATATCTTTTCTTCTTTTTTAAAAATGTATTTTATGAGTTTTCACAGAGAGGAAGAGAGAGGGACAGAGAGCCAGAAACATCGATGAAAGAGAATCATTGATCAGCTGCCTCCTGCACACCCCTTACCGGGGATGTGCCCGCAACCAAGGTACATGCCCTTGCCCGGAATCGAACCCGAGACCTTTCAGTCCGCAGACCGACGCTCCATCCACGGAGCCAAACCAGTCCCGGCTTCCCTTCTTAAGAAAGTAGTTTAAAAGGGCTGTCCTTTTATTTTATTTTCTCCGCTCACTTGCGCTGTGAAGTTCCTTCCCATGCAGGCTGGAAGTCAGCTACTCCCTGGCTGGCAGGAAAAGTCCTGGAATTTGCTGGAATGCACCTGCCGGACCCCGGTCCCAGCCTCAGCCGCAGCCCCCGCCCGGCAGGGCGCTGGGAATGGAATCTGAGACATGTGACTGAGTCAGACGGATTTAGCCATGTGACCTCAGCTTGGCAGGGGCAGTGCCAGCTGGGTCTGGAAAAAGTACATTAGTTACAGGGCAAACAAGCTGACCGGCCGCTCAGAGCCAGGGAGATGGCAGAAGCATGTGACCCGTGGAGGCTTCTCCGCCTCGTGTCCCTGCCATTGGCCACAGTGGAAAAACCTTCCTGCCCCAGTTTCACGGCCACCGAAGAGGATGACCTTTCTGAACTTCCTTTCCCCTTTCCTTAAAGGGGACCTCCCGGGGCAGGGCTCCTCCCCGGCCTCACCCTGGCCTGCCTGCCGGGGAGCGGGGTCTGTTTTGCTGCATCATGATCACCAAGGCTGAGCCGTTGGTCTGCTTATGACAGATACTGCCTTTCGTTTCTTCCTGAGGAAGACTGCCAAGTTCGGCGGGCTATTCCCAGGTGCCAGTAATTGGTTGGTTCTGTAGAAAGTTAAAAAGCAACGTCGAAAAAGCTGAGAAGTAGCCCTAACCAGTTTGGCTCAGTGGATAGAGCGTCAGTCTGTGGATTCAAGGGTCCCAGGTTCGATTCCGGTCAAGGGCATGTACCTTGGTTGAAGGCACATCCCCAGTGGGGGATGTGCAGGAGGCAGCTGATCGATGTTTCTCTCTCTCTCATCGATGTTTCTAACCTCTATCCCTCTCCCTTACTCTCTGTAAGAAATCAATAGAATATATTTAAAAAAAAAATCTGAGAAGTAAACGGTGTTCTCTTTCATAGTAGAAAACCATACTCTTTTTAAAGGAAACTTACAGGAGTGGATTTGATCAATTAGGGAAGAGGATAATGCACCAGAAGGAGGGGAATGAGTTGAGCAAGGGCATTGAAGACATCGAGTCTTATTCATCTTGAGCTGACTTTGAACTAATATTTACAATGTCTGGTCTCCAAATATATTTTCAAATCTCCTGTCCCGTTCTTTATCTGCCCTCTAGTGGGCACATGCTGAACAGAAAATCCAACAGGAGAGCTCGCTGGGAAAAAAGCAGAGGCGCAATAAGAAATGATAAGCCCTTCCATATACTAGTATCTAGGGGAGGCAACTAATCAATGTGCCTCTCGCACATCAGTGTTTCTCTCTCTCTCTTTCCCTCCACTCCACTCTCTCTAAAAATCAATGGAAAAAATATCCTCAGGTGAGGATTTAAAAAAAAAAGAGAAAAGAAAAGAAAAGATGACCAACTCCAGGGAAATGCAAAATTCAAAAAAACAAAAGAAAACAAAAAAAACAATAGGTACTATTTCAATTCACTAGTTAGGTAAAAATTTGAAAGTCTTAAAAAGTTCTAGGTATCAACAAGGATATGGAGCCAAGGGTACTTTTATTTACTGCTAGTGAAGGTGTAAATTGTTGTCTACACAACCATGTGTAAAAATTGGCATTATCATGCAAAGCTGAAAATGCCTTTAAATAAAGAGGTGAAGTATTACTACTGAGTCTCTCCCTACAGGAATTCTTAGACATGCACCCTGAAACACACAGACTGTTTAGTGCTGCATGGTGGTAACAGCAAAAAACAAACAAAATACTGAAAACAACTGATATAACCGTGCCCAGGAGAATGGACACCTACAATGTAGTATATTTGTGTAATGCATTACAAATAGTGAAAATAAACTACAGCCGTGTGCAGCAATGTGGATAAATCATGGCTTTGAGCAAGAAACTGGTTTGGCTCAGTGGCTAGAGCATTGGCCTGCAGACTCAAGGGTCCCAGGTTCGATTCCAGTCTAGAGCATGTACCTTGGTTGCAGGCATATATCCAGTAGCGGGTGTGCAGGAAGCAGCTGATCGATGTTTCTAACTCTATTCCTCTGTGTAAAAAAAAGAAAATCAATAAAATATTTTTTAAAAGAAAGAACACTTGTAGCATAGACACCAAGTGTTCATATAAAGTTTAGAAACATTCAATAATTAACACATCATTTAGGAATACATGCTTAATAGATAGAAAAGCCTGGGAATGATCAGATTTATCATGGGGAGGAATGATAATGATTTATTTCCCAACCCAGTGGTGAGTACATGGGCACTTTTTTTTTTATATTTACATCATGTTAGGTTCTTCTGTATGCATGAAGATGTTCATCATTTTCTACACTGGCAAAATATACCTATTGTAACAGTTAGCATTGTAACCACTTTTAGCATTTTAACCACATTTAGATGTGCTTCTGCACCTTCACTCACATAGCTCCACAGCCACCCGCCGCCATGACTCTCCATCATCCCATACCGACCGTGGCCCGCACATCCAAGCAATCCTGGCTGAATCACCTGTCACCGGGCTGTGCCCTGGGCTTTCCCCTAACAGCGCCATCCTTTTAGTGCCTAGGTGGAGCCTTTGGCCCACTCTGAGTTCATTTTTATCTATGGTGTGATGAGGGCCCAGCATCACTGTTTTGCAAGGTCCTCCCAAGGACGAATTAAGAAACACACCCAGCCGAAACCGGTTTAGCTTCCGGTCAAGGGCATGTACCTTGGTTGCAGGCACATGGGGGGGGGGGGAGAGACAGCTGATCGATGTTTTTCTCTCATCCTCCCTATAAGAAATCAATAAAATATATTTTAAAAAAGAAAAAAGAAACACCCCCAGTTCACGCCCGGGTCAAACCCAGCCCACTCTGCACCACTCTGCACCAGACAACGGCGCAGGCGCCCAGCAGCCGGCGCTCCGGCCCAGGGTTTGGACCCGCCTCTTTGCCGAGAGCCCTTTGACTTTCCGGCCCGGGGTCCTCCCGCTTCCGGTTCCCGAGCCGCGGAGCCCCGAAAGTTGGCGCAGGCGCGGGTGGGAGGGAAAGCTCGGCAGATCTTCGGCGTCGGGGCCGTCAGCAGCCGGTTGTAAGACGTGGACTCCAGCTCCGCGGTTTGTTGGATGCCAGGCCGTGTTTTCCATCGCGCTCGAGGACGGGGCGGGGCCAAGGGGGGCGCTGGTAAATAAGGCTGGGGGCGGGGCGTGGTACTGCGCGTGCGCGTGCGCTCTTCCCGGATTGGCTGCTCGGAGCGGCGCGGGTGTTGGCGGGAGGTTCGCGGGCTCCGCGGGCCGGTAGAGTGGCGGCGGCCGGGATGGCCTCCGCGGGGCGGGTGCGGGCCCGGCGAGGCGCGGGGTAAGTGCTGCGGCCCGAGGCCGGTGTTATCCTCTCTCCTCCCGCGGTGTGTGCCCCTGGCGGCTCTGCCGTCGCGTTAGTAATTCCGTGTGGCTCCGGGCCCCGGTGTTCCCGTCTGTAAAATGGGAATAATAACCCCCACCCCATAGGGTCAGCCGTGGACCTTCCGTGGGGTTAGGCAAGAGGGGTAGCCGGCGTCAGCATGCCCCTGTGTGGCTGAGTGTAAAGTGGACTCGGAACACTTTGGAACAAACTGGCCCGCGAACACGGCGTGCCTGCTCCCGGCCAGGCCTGTCGTCCTCGCGGCGTGTGCTGCGGCTAGTAGTCAGTGTTCTTCTTCCCGAAGCCCCTGCTGTTTGTTTTTGTAACACAAACCACGGACCTTAAAGCTGAACCACATCCCGGCGGGGTTGGGTAGGGGAGGGGACGTCAAAGCTGCCGCTTTTTATATAACGTCTTTACTTATATGTTACATATACACCATTTTATTTATGTATTTATATGTAAACATTATTTTCTGCTTTGAGACTCACGAAATCTGTTCATCCCTCCTCCCAAAATGCACCGGGGTGCCTACAGCAGGACTTTTACATATAGTATCCCAGGGGGTTCCATTTTTTTTTTTTTTTTTGAAATCTCGTTCCCCCGCCCCCCTTTGCCGAAGGAAAGAAACGACCTTTTGGGGGAGCACAGTTAAGGCGAGAGGTAGTAGAAAGAGTTCAGGTTAAGAAGCTACGCATCTGGCTTCTAGTCCTGTTTCTGTAAGTCACTCAACTCACCTGCACCCCCACGTCGTTAAATATCATGAAGTGGACCCCTGCTCTGTCCCCTTTGGGTCTGAAAACAGCTAAAGCAGAGGGTCTCCAGGTGGGGTTCCTTGCCCAGCGGCATGGCAGCACCGGGAACTGGTTAGAGCGGCACATCTCAGACCCACCCCAGACAGGGGGTCGGGCACCGTGGGGCGGGGCCCTGCCGCCTGGTGAGCAAGCCTCCAGGTGAGCCTGGTGCTGCGGTTTGAGAACCACAGCTTTCACCAGTTCTCCAGCATGTTGCTGACTTCCATTAACAGGAACTTCACAGCCTGTACGCACACGTGCTCATATATAACCCAAGGGGTGTGGGCACGCTGTGTCCGGTGCACTTATTCTCTCTCGTATGTCCTTTTTAAAAATGACGGTGAGCTGGGGGCTCTGCTTTCCAAATGGATGTTGTCATCACCTGCAGTCCATCGTGTGCACGCTGTGAATGCCAGGAGTGAGAAGTGGAGTTTGGGAAGAACATGTTTGGAAAGGGTTGCAGGTTACGGTGTTTTCCCGGTTATTTTAAAACTATTGCCTCACTTTGGTGTGTGTTTTGCTGTTTCACAGTGCGAGATATTCCAAGAACGCTGCGGGAAGAACACGTTCCACGGGAGATGTAAGTAAAATTTTTCCATTTCCGCGTGGTTTTCCTCGTGTCGGACAGTACAGATGGCTGTGTGGTGGGAGCCTCGGCCACGGAGAGGTCCCGGGGGGAGTTCCACCATCTGTTGTGGTGAGTGTTTTCCTCTGCCTGCGCTGCTTCCAGTGGAATGGAGAAAATCGTTAACGCTTTGAGTCTTCTCCCCGACCCAGCTTGGTTTTATTTTCACTGGGATAACTGGCGCTGTTTAAAAGGAGACAGCTTTCTGTGTGTTGCTGTTTTCCTTCGTGGCTATTTCTCTCTGTATTACAGTTTTAAACAGCTGTGCATGGTTTCACCGTATTCCACTGAGTCCTCATTATAGCTTTGCTTTACGGTAGGGTCTTAGACTAAGTCAGATAAAGGCAGGGACCTTGCTTTCACACCCTTGTAGCCAGTTTCAGATGACTTTCCAGGGTTGTCCGTTGGCATTGGCCATGCACGTTAACACAGGAAGGTGCCTGCTTTCAGGCTGCCGGTCAGGAAGTCCTCTCTGCTCTCTGTCCCGCCCTGGCTGGCTGCCTGTCTGTCCTGTGTGGCCTCCTGCCTGCTGTCCCGAGGCCCCCACAGAGGGGTGCTCTGCAGTGTGCCTGGGTCTCCACTCCCAGCAGCCCTGGGTGCTTGTTCTTCGCATGGATCTCTGCTCCCTGCCCCAAAGTCCAGTGTGCGCTGCCACCTGCTCCCAGCCCCCTAGCGGGAGCCCCGGCGCCCTCCCTCCTGTGGGAGGAGCTGTGCGCTGGCCCCTTAGCCTCGCGATGGAGGATCTGCCTCTTCTCGGGCATTCCATCCCAAGCACCCCTTGAATAATTTTCCGGTGTGTGTGTGTGTGTGTGTGTGTGTGTGTGTCAGTCAGTGATCAGGTTTTTGTTTTGTCAGCTTTACTCCATCTTTATATCTTCCAGAATTTTCTCATCTGTTTTCCAGAGCTACTGTGGAAGTTTTTCTCATTTGCTCGGTTTGGTCTTTCGTGGGGATTTGGGGTAGCAAACTTGATGGGGCTTATTAGTATATTGAACTGCAAACCCTGACCCTGCTTCGATGTGGAGTTCTAATCCTGGGTATCCTCAGAGCTGTTGATGGCCCTTCAGACCCGTGCGGGTGTTCTGGGTCGAGGCTTGTCACTTTCTGTAGACCCGGAGTTGGCAACCCATGGACCGTGGCCCCTGCTGGTTTTCACATTTCCAAACGGTCGCAATAAAGCAGGAAATGGCCCACGGCATGTGAAAATGGTATGAATTCAGACGTCAGGGCTGATAGTGAGGTTTACGGCCGCCGGCCACGCCCACTCTTCCTGCGCTGCCCCGGCTCTCACCGCCGATGGCTGTGTGGTCACTATCACAGGGCCCTGTGGCCAGCCTCATGTCACTACCTCTGTCTCTTATGGGGAAGGGTGCCAGCTCCCGCCTTAGATGCTCAGAGGAGCCTGTGTGTGTCTCCCTCCTCCCCCACCTCTCCCAGGAGCGTGAAGAACTGCTTGTTTAGGCCGCAGCCATAGCAGGGGTATTCTTGCTACTAAGTCCATCAGTTTTGTGCTGTTCTTGTTCGTAAAGCCAATTCAGTGACTGACTACATTCCCTTTTAGAAAGCCGGCCCGCCCCACAAGCCCACTGATCTGTATGATTTTTCTGAGAATTCTGGAATCTCGAGCATGGGCAGGATGAGCGACAATGAGAAAGATGAAGAACCTTATGAATCCTTTGGTTAGTATTGCAAGCCTTTATCCTAAAAACTTCAAAGTAGTTGAATGTGTCACGCCAGCACAGCCAAGGGTTCGGTGGCCTGAGCAAGGACGACGGAGGATGGAGAAAAGTCAGACAAAAAGAAAAAGCTGGGTCCAGGTGGATCTCCTGTGCCAGGCTGAGGCCATAGAACAAATCCAGACTGCAAAGCTGAGGCTTTATTTATAGTCAGGGGCAAACATGGTAATTTACAATGTTCTTATAAGTTTCACTTGTTTTGGCAGCACTTGATGCCCCTCCCACAGCCCACTAGCTACCCAGGAAAGATCTGGGGAGCAGTCACAAGATCAAGCTCAAACAAGCGGACTGTCAAATTACAGCAGGGAGGTTGGGGAGATCTGGGGGAAATAAAAGATCAACCGAAGGACTTGTATACATGCATATAAGTACAACCAATGGACACAAAACTCTGGGGAGGGAGGGTATGTACGGGGAGGGGGCATTGGTATATGTACAAAAATAATATAATTTTAAAAAATAAAGCAATTATAGAGTAAAAAAAATTTTGGTCTATATGGAACAACAAAAATTTTCATAGAATGTAAAAATAGTATTGTAATATATTTTTTAAAATTTCAACCTAAGTACAATTTAAAGATATAATAAATAAATAAAAATGATGTATAGTTGTGTCACTTTCAAGGCTGGCACTAGACTTTTTGCCACCACTATAAAATATAAATAATACAAGTACTGTCTGCTAAATTCAAGAAAATTTATGTAATTATGAAATAAATAAATTACTTTTTAAAAAAAAAAAGATCAAGCTCAATTATGCTTTGAGGGCTGTGCCCTCCAAGCTGGGACTTGTTTGCCACTTTGCCAGCAGGTCAGTCAGAGGCTTAACCCTATAACCGCTCCCTACAGTTGAAGCAATAGCATTTAGGCTAGTTAGTAATAAAAAGAAATATCTTCCAATATAAAACTCAGTTGTCTGCATATGCATACAATGTTCTGGGCAGTGTTGGTGACGTGAGTGAATTTCTCTCACTTCTGAGTACCTTGGAACTAAGGACTCTGTTAGGCATTCTCAAAGTAGAGGCCTTCTAGCAGCCAGTCACATCTGCTCAGCCAGTCGTATCCGGTAGCCCCGTGTAGTGTCTGAAAGGGACTTGGGTTTAGGGAGACGAGGGGGGTGCTTTCCCCTTAGACACAGTGAGGCAGAGGAAGCTGCGGAGCCAGGGAGAGCTGCTTGTCCTGCGGGGGGAAGCGGGCTGGTGCCTGGCTGCCCAGCAGTATAGCCAGAGGGACAGCTCTGTCCACATCACTGCCCACTCCGGAGGCCAGAAATGGCACAGAACGTGGGGTTATCTGTTCATGGTTCGTTCTAAGGGTCCAGTTTGGATGGCTGGTTCCATAGGGAGATTCAGGATTGATCTATTACATTTCTCCTTTTTTCCTTGTTATGCCCAGCAGTAAATCCCTTTGCCTAGTGGAGGCCAATACAAACTATATTGCTCACTTGAAAATTGTGCAGTTGATGATAAGTTCATTACGTAAGCAGCTGTTGGAAGAGATGTGCACATTTGCACTGTCACGCTAACATGTGAGCATGAAGAAATGGCGGTGTGGCTGTCATCAGCATCCTCCTGCCGCCATCAGCTCCTCTCCCACGGCCCCCAGCTTCTTCCCGGAGCCCCCCTGCCCTGAGCCCCCCACCCGCCCTCCTGGGAGCCTCTGTCCTGAGCACAGCGTCTCCCTCTGTGCCTTTCCACCACGGCCACTCGGTCTCCGCTTCCGCCTTCTTATTCGGGTTCACTTTTTATGTCAGCTCAGGGCTGTAGCACTGTGGGGGGCGGAGGGGAGGGAGGGAGGACGGGGGTCCCCCCTGAGGGCCATCAGTCACGGATACTGAGAGCCCACTCTGAGCGCGCACTGGGCCTTGGAGCTGACGGTGCAGTGAGCGTGGCTCCTTCCGGGAGGAGAGAATGGCCGGCTTCCTGTGGATGGCCATCTTTCCTCTCTCTGAGCACAGTGACACAGGCGATCACCGATACCTGCCCACCGACGGCTAATCTGATGTCTGTCTATGTCTGAGGCGGTTTACGTTTTTCATTGTTGAGGTGTGAGATCAAAAACATTCGGGAAGTGGGTGGTGTAATTGATTTTGTTAGCCATTTAAACAAAATCACTCTGTGCTCCGTTGTAAAGGAACAACCTTAAGCCTGCCAGGCAGATTCTAACGCCGCGCTGTAATGACCTTTGCAGAGCCGCCTCTGCACAGCACTGCGATCTACACCGAGGACGCCCAGCTCTCCGAGCACTCCGGCTCCTTCATCCCTCCAGCCCCCCGAGGAGGAGCAGCAGAAGGAAGGTGCGCTTGTGTCCTGCACTCGTGTGCTTTGTTCATGGCCAGTGGGATTGCTGAGCTCTTTAAGATTCCCCTTACCCTCCCCCCCCCCAAAGATTCATCGGTCTGTCCCATGCTTCCATGTCTCTGGGGAATTATGTGGGGGGTTTTTATGTTTTCTACTCATTTGACCCATATGAATAGATTTACTGTATTAAACCATCTTTGCATTCTGGGATAACCTGTTGGTTTGACCTCCTTACTGATATTAAAATATATTTTTTCTTTTTTAATGTTTTGTTTTTTTACTTAGTATTTTTAAACTTTGTGTCATTTTTTGGGGTCTATATCTCTGGAAAGAAAATAGCATTGAAGTAACGTCGTTTGGCTTCTTTTTTTAAAAAAATTATTTTTTAAAATCTTATTTTAGGGGACCCTTTTCCCCTCCCGAGGTGGAGTCTGTGCTGTGAGATCCTTTCCCTCTCCCCACGTGAGAGTCTGTACTTGCTCTTCAGTGAGTTTCCACCTTTGCTATACCAAAAAAAAATCTTATTTCCTAAGAACACTTCACATGAGATCTGCCCTTTAACAAATCTGTGAGTGTGCAGTGCAGTGGGTCAGATCTCTAGAACTTACCTGCCACTTCGTGCCACTTCCTGTCCCAGCCTCTGGCAGCCGCCGTCCCGGGCTTTGGGTCTGTGAATGTCCTGTTGTGGGTCCCTCATGTGGGTGACGTCACGCAGTATTTGTCCCCCTGTGGCTGGCCTGTTGCACTTAGGATCATGTCAGCTTCAAATGTCACACTTGCACCCCCTCAGGCCTTCGCGTGTGCCAGGCCCTGTGCCTGACTGCGCTTCCTCTGCGCACCTGTGCGGCTGTGCACCTGAGTTGGCACCAGGTGGGTGAGCAGTGGGGAGAGGAGCAGGTGCAGGGGCTCCTGTGCTTCCCTGTACATTTCAAGTGTCAGCACAGCGGTCTCCTTGGGTAAAACTCAGAAAATACCACCTTTCTTCACCGATACGTCTTTTTCTTATAGAATTATCTCTATCCAACCAATAGTTCATGTCCGTTTTTAAATTTGTTCATTGTGTCTCCCCAATAGGAGGGTCTTTTTTAAAGAAGCAGGATGTCCTTCTGTTCACTGCTGTGCTCCGGCTGCCTAGAATGTGACTCTGACACGCGAGAGGCAGTCAGTGAACGTTTGGATTCATTCCCTGTTCCTAGTGTCCTGGTTACAGTGACGGGGCCTCAGCCCATTGGCTGGTTCAGATCCTTATTCTGCCGCTGGGAAGTACTTGGCCTTGGGTCAGACATTGCCTGAGACATTAACTTTAGGCTCTTTCCTTAGGAAAATGGGATAATAATGCAACCTACCTCACGATTGTTTCAAGATCAGTTCTTCCTCTCGGGCTTTTAAAACAGGCTGGCATACGATAAAAAGTTTTGCAGTATTATCTCATTTTTTAATTTTTTACGAATATATTGCTTGTGTAAAGAGATTGGACAAGCATACACTGAAATGTTAGCTTTATCCTCACGTGTAAGAAATTCTCTGACCGTGGTTCAGTGGTTGAGCTGTCGACCCAAAAATAAGTACCGTATTTTCCGGCGTATAAGACGACTTTGAAATGAAAAAAAGTCAACCGAAAATCAGGGGCAAAAGACCAAAATTGCACAAAAATTACCCGCAGATCTTGACGGCAAAGTAAGCCTTTTCTTTGAAGTGGGGGGTAGTCTTATACAGCGAATATAGGCCTAAACCTATGTTTTAACTGTAAAATTAGGGGGTCGTCTTATACGCCGGAAATACGGGTAAATAAATAAAACAGGTTGGCATATAGTAAACTTTCAAATGGTAGTTTTTTATGTTGGCGTTTTTCCAGCAAGCATTTATTGAGCACTAAATGCCAGGCTCTGTATTAGTAACTCAAAACGGGCATAATCCTGTCTTCATGGAGCTGAGGGAGCAGGAGGTACTAACCAAGAGTCGCTGGCAGTTCCCTCGCATCGTGCTCTGAGTTGGCATCAGGTGGGTGAGGGTGGGGAGAGGAGCAGGTGTAGGTGGGTCCTGATGGCACTGCCGCTGTTGGCTGTTGACCAGCTGAGGGCGGTCTGAGCAGCACGCGCTGGCTGCGTGGCCACCTCCCCGTCACATTGTTAATCTCTTCCCTGGCATCACCTTCTCTGTCACAGCACATCGGTGAGCATGCCAGCTGTTCACCACCATGCTTTCCATTGACTTTTCCTGCCACCTTGAGTACCCTTTCCTGTATTGCTCTGCCTGGAAAAGTATTTTCAAAAGTCCACTCAGGTGTCAGAGCTGTGATGTCTCTCCTCATCCCCAGCCATCTCTCCTCGTCTGCTCTGGCTATGGCTTGCTAAGACATCTCTTAGCATTATCTTTGGTCTTCCTGCCACACCATGAGCCTTTAAAGGAAGACTCTGAATGTTTACAGTAATCCTATTCTCTGTACTCTGCTTAATGGGATGGGTGTTAAATGTTTGTTGTGTTGAATTGAATTCAAAAAACAAAAGAATTCATCTGTCACCCGAAGCGTAGGGTTACCTTTCTCAGGACAAAGGAGTATCCCGCTTACCTCACCCAACGATGGGCCTGGTGTGCGCAGGTTTGCTTTTATACAAGTGCCAGACCTGGGCGCACTAGCCTGGAGGAGGGTGCAGTTCTCAGATGTGGCCACAAGGTGCCGCTGTAACGGACACTCAACAGTCCTTGTCTACCAAGGACAACTGATGTGGCACATGACAGGTGCATATCGGAAGGTGGCGTCCCACCCATGACAAGTGGGAAGTTTCACTAAATGGAGCTTATCTTATTGTTGGGCAAGCAACTTAAAACGTGAATGAAAACGAAATGTGAGCAAGATACTGATGGCTTATTCTTTGGTACAGTTCGAACACTTCTGAAATTGAAGAAAGCGAAAACGAGTCTATAAAAATTAGTGCAAAAAAGGTATGTCAGTGTTCTCTTTCCTACCTTAATGTTTAAGATAGTTCATATCCTACTTAGATTGGATGACAATAGGGGAAATGTTCCATAAAATAGTTCATATCCTGTTTAGATTGGATGCAGATAAAAATATAGAGTAAGAGTTTTCTGTTTTAGAAGGTCCTTTTTAAAAATATATATATTTTATTGATTTTTTACAGAGAGGAAGAGAGAGGGACAGAGAGTTAGAAACATTGATGAGAGAGAATCATCGATCAGCTGCCTCTTGCACAGCCCCTACTGGGGATGTGCCCGCAACCAACATACATGCCTTGGACCGAACCCAGGACCTTTCAGTCCGCAGGCCGACCCTCTATCCACTGAGCCAAACCGGTTTCGGCTAGAAGGTCCTTTTTAATTAAGTGAAATGTTTTTATGTCTGAAGTGTTTTCCATGACAGAGGTCTCATATCTCCGTGTACCTTGTCAGTTTTAACGTTCATGTGATGCGTGTAGGTTGTGGCTTACAAAGGCAGACCGATGTGCTGGGAGTATTTGCAGCTTTCTTCCCTGGAGGTCTTTCCTGTCTTACCCTGATCATGCCATCTCCCTGTTCCATCTTGCAGTTTAGAAAGGGGAGTGTGGGTTGATGGTTGGCTACGGTTACGATAAGAACGATAAGCACTTCTATTTTCTAAAGCTGTAATGCTGTTTTCTTGACATAGCGAGGAAGAAAACTCAAGCCCATCAGTGAGTCGGAAAGCTGCAGTGAAAGGGAAAAACCAGCAGAGAAAGCAGGTAGCCAACAACCTGAAGCTGCGTCGTCTTCAGAACTTTCAGAGGAACCAGCCGAACTTGGCACTTCTAAAAAGGTAGGGCCTCCTGGTGCCGTCTCCTCTGTGAGAAAGAGACCTGGCAACAGAGAGTTGACGGGTACGAGCGCCTGCCATTTTTTTGGCGAGAAAGAAAAGTTGACTGGAAATGTTTCGGAGGGTCCTAGCTGGTGTTGCTCAGTGGGTAGAGCATCAGCCTGAGGACTGAAGGGTCCTGGCTGGAATAGAGTCCAGGCAGGATGTGTGGGGTGTGTACAGGGAGGCAACCAATCGATGTGCCTCTCTCACATCTGTTTCTCTCCCTCTCCCCCTCCCTTCCCCTCTCCCCAAAAATCAATGGAAAAATCCTCAGGTGAGGATTAATAACAAGAAATGTGTAGGAGGAATATAAAACATTTCTCTCTTTCCTCCAGTTTTTAAGAGAGACTTTTTATATATTTCATTATAAAACTTTTTATTTTAGAGTATTTATAAGCTATAGAAAGGAAGATAAAATATCCTACAATTCTGTCACCCAGATTTGACCTTCAGTTTGTTACTAATTTTCTCTCATTCTAAGTGGGACCATGTTCTTGTGATTCAGTGTTCTAGAATATTGTTTTAATGAGTGCTTGCAATTGTATTTGTGGGATGCCACAGAGTAGTCAGTCTCTTTCTAGTGACTGGTTACCTTTTTAACAACGGTAAGTGCTTTGATGAACTTGTAGCTAAACCTTTGTGTGCGCCCTAGATCACTTAGAAAAAATTGCTACAAGATTTCTGGGACATGTGTTCTCTTTTAAGATTTTTGACATGTAATATCTTTTTTTTTTCTTTATTGACCAAAGTATTACATATGTGTCCTTATCCTCCCATAGTGCCCACCCCCCAATTCATACCCTCACCCCCTAGTGTCTGAGTCCATTGGTTAGGCTTATAAGCATGCATACAAGTTCTTTGGTTGATCTCTCCCCCTTACCCCCACCTTCCCCTACCTTCCCTCTGAGGTTTGATGGTGTGAGTGATGCTTCTCTGTTTCTGGATCTGTTTTTTTTGTTTTGTTTTTAATATATTTTTATTATTTTTTACAGAGAGGAAGGGAGAGAGAGAGCGAGCTAGAAACGTCAATGAGAGAGAAACATCGACCAGGTGCCTCTTGCACATCCCCTACCGGGGATGTGCCCTTGACCGGAATCGAACCTGGGACCTTTCAGTCCACAGACCGACGCTCTACCACTGAGCCAAACCGGTTTCGGCTGGATCTGTTTTTTTTATTCATTATAAAAAACTGTTCTTCAGTTTATTTTATTCATTATATTCCACAAATGAGTGAGATCATGTGATATTTATCTTTCTCTGGCTTATTTCCCTTAGCATAATGCTCTCCAGATCCATCCATGCTGTTGCAAATGGTAAAAAAGTTTCTTCTTTTCTATAGCAGCATAGTATTCCATTGTGTAGATGTACCACAGTTTTTTTTAATCCACTCATCTGCTGATGGGCACTTAGGCTGTTTCCAAATCTTAGCTGTGGTGAATTGTGCTGCTATGAACATAGGGGTGCATATATCCTTTCTGATGGCTGTCGGTATCCGAGAGATGCAAATCAAAATGACAATGTGGTACCATCTCACACCGGTCAGAATGGCTATCATCAACAAATGACAAGTGCTGGCGAGGATGCGGAGAAAAAGGAACCCTGTGCACTGCTGGTGGGAATGCAGATTGGTGCAGCCACTGTGGAGAACAGTGTGGAGTTTCCTCAAAAATTAAAAATGGAACTCCCATTAGACCCAGTGACCCCACTTCTAGGAATATATCCCAAGAACCTGGAGACATGTAGTATCTTTTGATTAAGCTCTCAATGTGCCTTTGCCAGCACCTTGGTTTTGGCCCACTGAAATTATTTTGGAACTGCTGGAGAATAAGGCACTAAGTTGTGGTAATTTATTATAGCCGCCAGAAAAAACTCAAACACCAACCAAGCACCTTTTCCTTTTAGTTATGTGCTTTTTGGTTCACTTTCTGAGTTTCTTGGGGCTTTTTTGCCCAGTGTCCAGTGCCTAGATAAATTGCTAACCCCACCCCCATTTTATAGTTGTTTATGGCAAAGCTGTTACTCCATCATAACCTGGAAGCAGTTGATTCCACGCGTTATCTTAAATAATAAAAGTTCAACTTCCTCCAAAGCAGCCATTGTTAAATACCAGCTGAAAGATTGTTTTTGGGGGTTTGAGGGAGACAGCTTCATTTCTTTCCGTGTTTCCTTGTATCAATTTAGATAATTTATATAATTCACTAATATTAACTTAGAAGTAAGTAAGAATTATGGCTATAATAGTAACTGACAGTGTTTGATAATATTGTCTTAATCCTCTTAAGAAAAAGAAAACAGCATTTATGAACTTGCTTCCCAGCAATTGTCATGAGCTTGTCTCAAATCTTTTTTTTTTTTTTTATTAATATATTTTATTGATTTTTTTTTTACAGGGAGAAAGGGAGAGGGATAGAGAGTTAGAAACATCAATGAGAGAGAAACATCAATCAGCCGCCTCCTGCACACTCCCCACTGGGGATGTGCCTGCAGACAAGGTACATGCCCTTGACCAGAATCGAACCTGGGACCCTTCCGTCCTCAGGCCGATGCTCTATCCACTGAGCCACGCCAGTTAGGCTCAAATAAATCTTATACTCATACTCGCTCCCCCCCCCACCCTTCCTCCCTCCCACAAAAAAACTTTTCTTAAGTAAAATTCTTTGCTGTGTTATTTTTGTAGAAAACTCAGAAAAAGAAGGCATTTCATGGCAAAAGAAAGAAATCAAGAAGTGAAGCCCTGGACTCAGGTACAGAGAGTGGGTTATGTTTGACAGCTACTCAGTAATTCCATTTGAAAATCCTGAATTCCTTACATCAGGGAAAAACATGTGCCTTTGGAATAACTTTCCCCCCAGCATCTATCATGAAAATTTTCAACAAACAGCAAAGGTGAAATATTTTACAATATATATTCATATGCTCACCACCTAGATTTTTCTATTAAAATTTATTCTTTTTGCTTGGTCAGCTATCCATTGATCCATTTTAATTTTTCATCATCTAGATATACTCATTTCAGACATATTTTAGTATGTGATTTTTTCTATAAGACTTCCTTCATTTAGCATAAATTTTCTCAGACTCATCCATTTATTTTGCATCATTTTTATTCACCTAAAAAGCTTATTGAAAAATGTTTCAAAGGAAAATAAAGCATTTCTATTTACTTCAGTTTTTTTTTTAAAGGAAAAGTTATATATTTTTATAAAAATGATTATTTTAGAAAATTTATATAAGAAAAATAAAATCATCTGTAATTCCATCATCCCAAAATAACTACCATGTTCTAGGCATGGCTGACTGTGCACATGTTTGGTGTCTAAAAGGAAAGAAAAGCAGTGACATCATGGACTTAGATGTTGTTTTGTCAGCATTTGAGAAAATCCTCCCCGAGTATAAGTAAGTGTTGATGCGATGTATGTGCCCCATTTCCCTTGAAACCACCTTTGCTTATCCCACAGCTTTTAATACGTAGTATTCTCATTATTCAGTGTCACAGATTTTTACACTTCCCTGATAATTTTTCTTTAACCCTATTATTTAACATATTACTGAGTAGTATGTTTATACCTCAATATGTGCCTTTTTAATTTATATTTTGTATTAACCATCTATTTCAAATATGTTGTCAAATCTCATGGACTGGTGATAACCATTTTTTATTTTTATTTATTTATTTATTAAATATATTTTATTGATTTTGTACAGAGAGGAAGGGAGAGAGATAGAGAGCTAGAAACATCGATGAGAGAGAAACATCGACCAGCCACCTCCTGCACACCCCCCACCAGGGATATGCCCGCAACCAACGTACATGCCCTTGACCGGAATCGAACCGGGGACCCTTCAGTCCGCAGGCCGACGCTCTACCACTGAGCCAAACCGGTTTCGGCGATACCCATTTTTTAAATAGTAAGGCTTGCTTTCTTTTTTTTTTTTTTTTTTTTTGTTTGTTAAACCTCACCCGAGGATATTTTCCCATTGATTTTTGTTCATGAGTAAGAGAGACACAGAGAGAAATATTGATGTGAAAGAAACACATAGATTGGTTGCCTCCTGCACGTATCCCCCTCCCCCCCCTTGCAAGCCAGGGAACAAGCATGCAACTGAGGTACATGCCCTTGACCGGAATCGAACCCAGGACCCTTCAGTCTGCCAGCCAATGCCCTCTCCACTGAACCAAACTGGCTGTGGCTGTGTCAAGATATTTTCTACTTCCCGTTGGTATTTCTTTGACCCATTAATTGTTCAAGACTGTGTTGTTTAATTTTTATATGTTTTTTTAATTTTCCAGTTTTGCTTTTGCTAATGATTTCTAGTTTTATTCCACTGGTATGGAATAAAAAATACTTGGTATGATTTTAATCTTGTTAAACTGGTGGCTTATTTTGTCTCCTCACGTGTGGTATGTCACGTGTGGTATGTCATGGCATGTTCTTGTGCGCCGCAGAACGTGTACTCTGCTGCTTTTGGGTGGCGTGTCTGTAAAGGTTCCTCAGGTCCTGACGGTCAGGGTTGAAGTCCCCTGTGTGGTTACCTGTCATTATTTAAAGTGTTTCTGTGTGGCTATTCTTGAACTTGCCAGGCACAGAGGGACTTTTTTAGTGGTTTGGGGAATGCGCATAAAGGCTGTGCTGCCTGATAGAGCTGGTTTCCCTGTGGGGAATGAGGCCTGGGCTTCCTCTTTCACTGTCTCTAATGCCACCGGAAGTTCTTGTTAACATGCATTTCATGAGAGCTTGGATACAAAGATCTGTATGAAAGACGCAGGCCTGCTCTGTGCACTCGTCGCTTCTGAAGAATTACAGGGACACTTGACAGTGTCTGGTGTGCCCAGGCCAGTGCTGGCAAATGGGGCTCTTGGGCCCCTTCAGTTGTCAGTGAGGCCAGCTTAGGAGCACCCTAATTAAGTTAATAGCAATGTACCTGCTATCTAGTTTAAGTTTAAAAAATTTGGCTCTCCAAAGAAATTTCAGTCGTCGTCAATTGTGTAGCTGACCACATCCATACCCGAGGGTTTAGGGGGAAATATTTCCTGTTCTTTTTTTTTTTGTTGAGACATTTCCAGTATTTTTAAAAATGTATTTTGACTTTTTACAGAGAGGAAGGGAGAGGGATAGAGAGTTAGAAACACCGATTAGCTGCCTCCTGCACACCTCCTACTGGAGGTGTGCCCGCAACCAAGGTACAAGCCCTCGACGGGAATCGAACCTGGCTGGGACTCTTCAGTCCGCAGGCCGACTATCCACTGATGGCCCTAACCAGTTAGGGCCATTTCCAGTATTAAGCCTGAGAAGGACTGATCGTGCCATCCTACATAGATATAAAATGCTGTATGTAAAATTGTGTTGATGTGATAAGCAAATAAAACACACTTTCACAATCCGTTTTTAGATACCTAGTTTGATCCTTTTTTTAAACAAAAATCTGTTACAGACAAAAAATAGAATCTAAAATTTGCAAGGAAGCAGTCGGCAAATTTCATTCTAGTATGAAAGAAGAACTCATCAAAATGGTAAGTTCACTGCCACATTTTTTTGGCCTAAATCTTTACTAGTCCCGAGGCAGCGTACAGATACTGTGGAAGGACTGCATTTGCTGGCAGTGTGGGAAAGAACTCACTAGAATTAGCAGTATTTCACATGTTAAAGTAAATGTGATTATATTGTAAACTAACAAACATTTAATTATGGAAAACGTCACGCAGTATTTTGTTTCGTGTAGCTTGCGGAAGTCCAGATGTTGAAAACTCTGAGGAGGAAGAATGCTAAGGTAAATCACTTGTGATTAGAAACTCATGCAGCGAGTAGACTTGTCTGGGTTTTATGGCCTTTTCTATGTAAGATTTTTATCTTTTTAGTCAGGCTTTATCTGCTCCTGTGGTTGAGGACTGTCAGTGCACGCTAAGGAAGGGACATGGCTGTGAAGCCCCAGTGGGTGTGGGGTAATGCATGTTTGCCCCTTTTGTGATGTGAAAAACAAAGCCTTTAGAGGGGAGAGCTGTCCCACGTCCCGGGTGAACGGACAGCCTGGGAGAACACGGGTGGAGGGTCAGGAGAGTTCATTTCCTGTCCCGCTTTCCTCAGGGCACGTCAGAAGTTGTAATCACATGCTGTTTGTATGTACCGTCTCTTTTCCCGAAAAAGTTCCGTGATGGGAAGAATGGGGTCTTGTTTCACTGTATTTCCGCTGTACCACAGTGTGCTTGGTGGCACTCAGATATTTATTAACTTGATTTAACAAAGGCATTTTGTTCCTTAGACGATTTCAGACATTGAGAAGAAAAGGCAGCGTTTGGTTGAAGTCCAGGATGAACTGCTTTGGTAAGAGAACATCAGAAGCCTAGCACTGACCTGGAAGGTTGTGACATGCCCTGGGTTAGGAAAGCTGCTGCTGGGCTGCCAACATCCCCAGTTTGCCTGGAGCCTGGGAGCTGCAGACTCGGAGACGCTTTCAGCAAAGGAGAATCCGGCACTGATCTCTCTGCCATCCGATCTCAGCTCCGGCTGCAGACTCTAGGACCAAACTGCCGGGTGTGAGTCCCGGCTCTGCCACTGCGGGCTCGCAACCTCGGGCAGGTTACCTACCCTCCCAGGCCTCTGCCGTCTTTGTAAATAAGTGTGAGACCTGCACCTCACAGAGCTGTGAGAACTGAATGAATGAATGAACGAACGGACGAACGAACGAATAGGCAGGAAGTGCTGGTGTTCACAGTTAATGTTACCGTCGCAGCATGTACCTGGTGACACTCGTGCAGATCCGCTTCCCAAGGCCGTGCTCTGAGGAAAGCGGGACAGGAAATGAACTCTCCTGACCCTCCACAGTTTTCATCTTGGCACTGGGGTTCCACCCTCCCCACCCCCACCCCTTTGTTTTTATGGACCTTGGAAATGGACAAGATTTTGATAGAAAGGGCAAAAAGAAGACTTTCTGTCCATGCTTTTGCCCTTCTATTCCTACCTGAGGCTTTTAATCCCATAGTTTCCGAGATCCTAAAAATGAGTTTTCGGCTATATAGGGCAGCGGTCGCCAACCTCGTGGGCCTCACGGACCACCAGTGATCCGCGACCACCAATTGGTGACTACTGATACAGGGCATCCTCTTCTGTATTTCAGTTTAAATAGAAAATCTAGAATCTTCCTTACATTCCTAATTTCAGAGCCAAAGATGCCTTAAACTATCCAGTCCACCTCCCGTTTTTTCTACCCGGTCAGTACACTAACCTGGCAAAGCAATTATGTCCTCTCAAACTACTGTACAGTCAGACTGGTGACACAGCCACACAACAGCCTGAACAACTAGACACGTTTCCTTTCTGACATGTCCAGTGTGTGGCTGCAACAATAGGAGGAGCTTCGGGAGGCAGCAGGAGCCTGAGCTGTGTGTTTTTTTCTTTTCTCGCTTTAGTTTAGAACCACAGCTGAAACAACTGCAAACAAAATATGATGAACTTAAGGAGAGAAAGTCTTCTCTGAAGAATTCAGCATGTTTCTTATCTAATTTAAAGCAGCTTCATCAAGATTATTCCAACATTCAGGAGAGACAACCAAATGTAAAGGAAACGGTAAGATCTATGAGAACTTGAGAAAGAAACATAGATGCAACATACCAGTCTACTCAGAACAGCATCACTCTACATCCTTGAAAATGTGTTCATTCACTGCTGCTTTAGCTATTAAGGCTAGAGAAGTAGAGAAGACTCCTGAAATACCTATTTATAAAGGCACTAGAGGCCCAGTGCACAAAATTCATGCATGGCCAGGACCTACCTTCATTCCACACCACCCTGCACCCTGGTGGTCAGCGCATATCATAAAAAGTGATCAAACTCCCAAGGGGACACTTTGCATATTAGGCTTTTATAGATAGATATAGATAGATAGATTGATTTACATTTCTGAGAACCAAATCCCATTCAGGGAAGTAGCCTGTTTGTACAAATTTCAAATGAACAACTAGGCTTTATTATAATTGTTATCATCATAAGATCACCCAGACATGTTTTAAAGACAGGCCTATGTTTGTAGTATGTTTTTTATCTGAAAATACACATGTTTTAAAGACAGGCCTATGTTTGTAGTATGTTTTTTATCTGAAAATACAAGTCATTATCTCATAAAAGGCTAGGTATAATATTGAAAAACACAGAAAGGAGAAAGTGTGATATTGTTTTAATAAACTTTATAGTTGCTTCTGGATTTTTGCTGCAAATTTTGCTGTTATGAGAACCAGCTCATATTAATAGAAATGTTTAAGTTTATGTATATGTATGATATACATATAGCTGATGATCATATTTTATTCTTCTAAATCCAATTTTAAGGTGTTTCTTTTTTTTAAATTCTCATTGAGAATATAGTCATTGATTTTTAGAGAGAAAGGGAGAGAGAGACATCAATCAACTGCCTCCCTTATGTGCCCCAACCAGAGATTGAACCTGCAACCTTTTGGTGTATGAAACGAAGCTTCTAGCAATTAAGCCACCCAGCCAGGCTCAATTTTAGGTTGTGACATTGTCTAAAAGTTAATTCTCCTGAACCTAAGGTTTATTTGTAGGTTAGAGAACTGGAAATAGGACGTTTTTATATATTTTCTCCTGTGACAGTACCAAACTCGTCCAAAGTTTGTCACTTAGAGTTGGAAGTTTACCACAGGATGAGATCTAGCGACTTGTTTCCATAATTCAAATGCCACAGTTCTTTGAACTGGTCTGGTTTGAGGTCAACTCAAACCCTACAGAACAGTTCCTTTGAAACCTGTTTATCAATTATGTCCTAAGAAAATGGGTTAAAACAAAATTAACAATGGCTAGCGCTAATAAAATCAGCATTTAAGCTATATGGAAGAAATAGTGATTAGTATTTGTTAACTTATTTTTCCTTCAACAGTATGACTCATCCAGCCTTCCAGCGCTGTTATTCAAAGAAAGAACTGTTTTAGGAGCTGAGAGCCACCTGCAAAATATTAACCATCAATTGGAGAAACTCCTTGACCAGAAATGAGACCTGTCTGCTAACACGTGCCTGCCTGGCTAAAGATGAGTCCCACACCCCTGCTGCCTTCCAAAGCTCCTCCTTGTTGCAGCCACACTCGGGACACATGTCAGAAAGTGAATGTGTCTAGTTGTTCAGGCTGGTGTGTGGCCGTGTCACCAGTCTGACTGGACAGTAGTTGAGAGGACATAATTCACTTGCCAGGTTAGTGTCCTGAGTGATAAGTTAAAATGTTGACGTTGACACTGAATCCCAGTAGCCATAGACTTTTAACCTATACATACACAAACTTAAGCAGATGTGCATACAAATTAATTCTGGTTAATCAGTAAGAGATTTCTACTGAATTTAAGTACACTGAATCTAATTTTCAATAAAAAATCAAGAATTGGAATGCAAAGTGATAAAACTTAGTTGATGTAAACAGATTTAACGAGTTACTGTAATTTAATGTCTTGAGTCAAATTACAACCTGGTTATAAGTGTCCGTAGCTAATTTAGCTATTCTGTAATACTTCCACAATTACTTCGTCAGGAATTTCATCCACTCCACCATTATAACTGGGAAGACTGTTCTCTGCAGCTTCTGCTAACTCAGCATCTTCAGTCGCTTCCAGGAAATAAGGATCATCAAGGTCACTGTCCCAGTCAGGGTCAGAGCACACGCCTCCTGACGATGAGGATGGCACATGCGGGGCCTGGGTCCCCTCGTCCGTGGTTTCGTGTGTTGTGAACTCTTCTTCCTTTAGTTCCAAAGGGAGAGGAGAAAACAGTCTTCATGCAGAATATGTGATGATTTCATGGAGCAAACTGTTGGATTAAGGTATAAGGCCAGTACAGCAGATATTCAAGCGAATATGCTACGTGGTGTTGTCTCTGATACCGTCACCTTGAGAGTGAACTCATTGGTTCAAATATTGCTGTCACCATTGCCCAAACACTGGAAGTGCCTGCAGTACCTCCTATTCACTAAAAACAGGCAGATGAGAGCAGGGGTAGGTTGATTTTAAGTGGATAGCCCAGCCGAAACCGGTTTGGCTCAATGGATAGAGCGTCAGCTTGGGGACTGGACTGAAAGGTCCTGGGTTCAGTTCCAGTCAAGGGCATGTACATTGGTTGCGGGCATATCCCCAGTAGGGGGTGTGCAGGAGGCAGCTGATCGATGACTCTCTTTCATCGATGTTTCTCTCTCTCTCACTTCCTCTCTGTACAAAATCAATAAAATAAAAAAGTGGATAGCCCAGCTGACGGCAAATTGAAAGTAGATCTATCTGAACAGACTTATTTCTCTATTTAAAAAAAGTTTAGACAACTGTCAAAACGTGACTGGATTGTATATCAGAATACAGTATTGTATCAACATTAAATTCCTGAATTTAATAAAATGCCTTTATTCTCCAGCTACAAGCTTAAATATTAAGAGATGAAGGGTTTGATGCTTGCAGCCTCCTTTCAAGAGATTTGTTAAAATCGGCTGTTACACCCTAACACCCACATGATGGTATTTAGAAGCGAGGCCTTTGGGACTTGATTACATCATGAGGTGGAGCCCTCACTAACAGGATTAGTGCCCTTATTAAGAGACCCTGAGAACGCTCCCTTCTGCCACGGGGGACGCAGACACAGGTGCCACATGACAGCTGCATCTGACCGGGAAGCTGGCCCTCATCAGGCAGCACTTTGAGATCTCCCAGCCTCCAGAACCGAGCAGTAATGTCTGCTGTTTAGAAGCCACCTGGTCTGTGGTTACAGAAGCCCCAAATGACAAAGTTTAAAATGGAAACAATTTATACAGCAGGGGTAATGCTGTACACCAACTGTACTTCCACCTGGCATTTCTGAGGTTTTACTAGATAAGCAGACCCACTGAAACCATACACTTCTTCAAAATAATATTCCAGGTAAAACAAGGATGATATTTCTCCTCTTAGAGGCAGTTCATTTTTTAAACATTTACCAGACTCTGGCTACCAGCTATTTAGTCCAGCTTCTAGAGACCAAGAATGAGCCTACATTTCCAAGCACGCACTTAGCTTATATTGGGAAACTTTTGTTCTAACCATAACACTCAAGGACAAGGCTAACAGATGGGGGGTGGGGAACCAACCAATAGAAAGTCTAGAAGACCACGTAGAAAAAAAGTGGACAGTTATAGGCAATCTATTAAATCTGAAGAAAAAATTAACTTCATTAATAAATTAATGTAAATTAAAACAACTAAAATACCATTTTGCATAGTAGGTTGGTAAAGATTAAAAGCAAAAACGTAGGGTAGCAGGTGCTCTCATAACATGAAGTGGAGAGCAATTTGTGATATGTGTTATTGAAAATATTTCTGATAGGAATAAAAATTACAAAATGTGTACGTGGTATGTGTATATGTATATGTGTATTGTGTGTGTTTTGATATATATATATATATGTATACCAAAACATTTACATCAGCTATATGCTATATGTAGCTGAGAATAATTTTCCCTCTTTTGATTTTTATGTATTTTCTATTTCCTACAATGAATGTAAATTACTTTGGGTAAGAAAGTTTTAAAAGGAAAATCGTTGGTTTGGCAATCTACCAAAATTTAAAATGTATACATTCCCTTTGACATAATTCAACTTCTAGAAATTCTTCCTATGGATCTAGTTTAAAGAAACACAAAGATGAGTGTTTTTGTATACTTTGTAGAGAAACACTTTTCTAGCAGAGGGACTGGTTAATAGCTATCTACAACTTTGTGTGGAGCAGCGCAGAAGGACGGGGTGCGCTGAGGAACAGTCACAACCACTCATTTCCCCACAGTGCATGTAAAAACTGGACACTACTCACAGCTCATGTATACGCTGAGCCCAGTAGTCAGTCAGGAGAGAAACTAAAATCTGCACTTACCTCTTTGAGAAGAGACAGGAGGCATATTTCAGCAGGTAAAGGAAAACCTGAATCGGAAAGAGTGAAACTGTTTTACATAGACATCTAGTCTTCACTTTGTGCTAAATGTCAAATTTAATAACTCACGGTCAGATTTGAAGTTTTCTGCTTTACATATGGGGTCATGACATTTTTGATACCAAACTTCATTTTTCAGATCAACCAAAATCCTTTATGGTAAAAAAAAAAAAAAAAAAGTTATTTAATAGAATAGATAAATAAAATTCAGCTACATGCTCTTTATAAGAGTTATGATGATTCTTAAAGATGGAGAAAACTTAAAAATTCAAAAAGTGAAAAATATAAACCAAGCAAAAGAAAATTGATTGCCAAAAATATCATACAAAAGTGGACTTGAGGGGGAAAAATATATATATCCCAAGAAAAAATATATTTTCAACTCTGTACCCACCAATTAAGATAGTGCTGTAATCACTGGCCAGGCTGAGGGACCTCACTGTGCATGAATTCATGCTCTGGGCCTCTAGTGTTATATAAGAAATTATGCTGTTTACCTACTTACTGTACTTACTGTCAGAGCTGAGACCTCTGTATGTCCAGCACATACAGCCCATGTACCAGACATGAGATAGTGATTGGTTGGCCAATCAGTTGTTTGGTCATTTTGTCGTTCTGTTGCTTAGACTTTTATATAGAGAGATAACTACTGGGTTTCTACTCTATCCCTGTTCTAAACATATTCTTTTATTATTATTTAAAATTCTTTTCTGGTTTTACTTCATACTTAACTTCCTCTCCTTTGCCAGGGGATTAAAAGAAACTAAAATTAAAACGGCCTGTCATGGACAGCAAGCATTCAGGAAATAGTTGTTTCCTTCTATACTATTCTTTGTCTTGGACACATAAACATAACCTTCACTCCAACTCTTAACGCTGAGAAGTTTCCTCCTTGTCCAAATTTGTTCCATTGAGCTTTAGACTCTGTAAGGTGTCAGAGGCCAACAGCAATAGGAGAGAGACTTTCCACCATCATTCATCATCTACTATCTCATTTCTTTTATTCCCAGTGCATCCTACTGTAGTCTTCTCAAGGTGATACCATCTATGTGATTATTTTGCCAAATACAGTGCAAATGAAGATGATAGGTTCTGGGTGGAAGGTTGTAATTAAAATATTCAAGTTACATGTTATATCCAAACTAAATATAAACTGAATTACAGGTAGTCCTTGGGTTACATTGGAGATCTGTTCCTACAGCGCAATGTAACTGATTTTTGCCATAAGTCAGAACCCACCCACATAAGTATATATGTCACTCACACGAAGCACATACAATAGTAATGAAGTGAAACAGTAAAAAAAAATTAAAAGAAAGATAATCCCTGACCTTTACTTTTGGTAAATAAATAATAAATAACAAAGCACATAAGTACATCAAAATGACGGAACTTTTTTTTTTTTTTTTTTTTTTTATAAATACTGTAAATGGGAGATGGTGACATAACTACAAAATGATGTAAATCAAGTAAGATATAACCTGAGGACTGCCTGGTATAACTAAACTAGTGGCCTGGTGCATGAAATTTGTGCACATGGAAAGGAAATTAATTAGAAGAAATATTTTAATATCACTATTCGCCCTTTCTCTATCATAGAAGTGTCAACCAAATTCACGATCGACAATGACAGATCTAAACACATGCATGTGACTGGCACCAGTGAGAGCTTTATATGTATCGCGCATGCACGAGTCAATTCAGCCTTTTAAATATATAGGTTATATATATATGTAGGTTATAAAAACAATCATTTTTATATTTCCAACTTTAAAAATTATAAATATTAAAAATATTGGTTAGAAATGTAGAACTTATGAATAAACAATATTACTTACATGATATTATTACTCCTGTGAGCTCTTCCAATGTTTCCACACCAGCGATATTTACAAATGTCATAAACCAATAATTCTTCTGGAAAAAAGTAGTTCCATCGCCGAATCCCTAAAATGCAAATAATGTTTATAAGGGCATTTTTACTCTATCATAAAACAGGGTTAATAAAGAATATGATTATCTTTACCTCCTTTAATGCCATTTTTATTCACCAAAGAACGAACGAACTGATCAATTTCAGGGTAGGGCGAGCCCTGAAAACCTTCAATGCTTTCTACTGCAACAGAGAGAAAAATTAGTTATAAATGATAATGGTTAAAAGTTGAGGTTTTGATTTAAGTTGTCTGGTATAATTTTGATTACCTCCTCCCCCTTGGTTCCCACTCCCCCTTTTATTCAATGTTCCTTCTAACCAGTCATGGATTTTTATTATCCTACAAGAAAGCAGGTAAAATTCAAACCTCTCAATTAAGCCAAATGTCAACTAATTATTACCAAAAGTATGTAATAATCATATCAATTGCTTTCTTGACTCTGATAAGGGAGTGAAGTCCCTTCCACCCAGGAGCTGGCCTGGTCCTCTGAGATAGGCTTGGGTGTGGCTACCAGGTGGCTCAGCCCTTGTGTTCGCTCATCACATACTATTTCACACAACTTCAGCATTAGATGCGGTCATTCTGTGGCCATGATGATTCAAGACAAAAATAAACACTCTGTAACCACGTCTGAACACAGACAAAACGAACGGATGTTTTCCAAGCCACAGAAATGTTCAAATATAACCTTATCTTGTCTAATATAATTAATTGCTGTTTCTTAACCAGTTATAGCTTTAGTCTCCCTGAAGTCTGTCTTCTTTCTAGGTAAGATTTCTCAAGATATCACAGAACTCTCCCTAACGGGCCCTCAAAGCCCCTAACGCAGGCCCGAGACCTAGCACCCTTCACTGAGCTGCCCATGGCTCCCATGGTGTGCGTTCTCCATTGCTGTGACCAGTAACAAACAGCTTGCTCAACACAATGTGTTCTCTGGTGGTCTTTAGCTGCAGGGCACTGACAATTCAGCTACATTTTGTACCTGAAAGTCTACTGGAATAATTTAAATAATTTATTTACAATCTCATTCAACATTTAAAATAGAATAATCTACTTTTCTAAAAGCCTGTATTTCAGTTACAAAAGTAATATACATGATTGGAGAAAAATTTGGAAATATATTAAAGCAAAAATAAGAGAAACAAACTCCAAAACAATGTCTAGAAATAACTGTTAGTCATGTAATAGGTTATTCATCTTTTTTAAAAAAAGTTGTGATCATACCTCAACATACAAGCGAATCTATTTTTTCTCAACATAAGTGGATATTTTCCATATTTTATAGACTTTATAAATTTTAATTAAATGACTTCAGAGAATTTTATATTATGAACCAATCCCATTTTGTTGTACACTTAGATTGTTTTCATTTTTTCACTATTATCTATCTATCTATATATATAAAAGGCTAATATGCAAAGTGTCCCCTTGGGAATTCAACCAGGAGACAGAGTTTGATTGCTTGCTATGATGTGCACTGACCACCAGGGGACGGCATGGAATGAAGGAAGGACCCGGCCAGCAGCTGGCAGCTGGGGAAGGCAGGCCCTGGCTGGCAGCTGGCAGCCAGAAGGAAGGCCTCTGCTAGTAGCCAGAAGGCCCCAATACGTGCACAAATTTCGTGTACCAGGCCTTTAGTAAATAATAATAGCCACAAATATGTATGTAAAAATGTTCACTGCAGAGTTTATGTAGGAAATCTTAGAAAAACCACTGTAGGTTCTTCAGTTTAGGAATGAAGACTATATAGTTTTCATGAGAAATTGCAGCCATTAAAAGAATGAGATGCTCTCCATATTACTGGAAATACAGGAAAAACCCTCCTGGTTAGATAGGAAGCTACAGACAGTGGTCATCCCTTTGCAGACAGAAGATGAAGAGAACCCGTGTTTTAATATGTGTTCATTTTATACAAGCAATATATTATTTTGGTAGGGTTTTTGTTTTTTCGCAAAATGGTATAATGAAAATTACTGAATACACTTTTTAAAATATCTCTTTTTAATTTTCATTTTGGATAGAAACTTGGTCATTTTAAAAGATCAATAAATATGAATATATAAGACTTAAAATTTCAAAGTCAAAAGAGATTTAACATCCTTAAATTTTCACAGAAAATTAGTTTTGTAAAATTACCTGAAGTGCTGGTACTATTTAAATGCCCAGCCTGTTTCTGTTTATTCTCGGATGCATCACATCTAAGTACTCGTAAGGTATCTGAGAATCTGAAGAAAATATGTTCAAGAAACAAAATAATATTATTAGAATTAAAGAGACATTAATTCTACAGAAAAACAATTTCAAAGCTACAGAAAAACAATTTCAAAGAATTCCATACTAAAATCCTCTGTTCAGCAGCTCTTTGCCAGGACATTCATGCCACATTTGCCTATAAGAGCACCAATCCTCCCCACATGAAAAGAGAAGTGTGGTGACCACTTAACCACTTTCCTGCAGAGTGAGCCGAGGGCGGCAAGGCTGCCGAAGCGATGGGAGGAAGTGTAATTCCTCAGACAGACAGAGCCTCTGAAATGTTGGTTTCAATGATGGAAAAGTGTGAATAAATGGAAGAAGAGAAGGAAAAGGCAGGTGACAGCAAAGGGAAAAATGGATTGAAATGAACAAAAGTAAAAGATACATTCATAACTGTAAAGAATTTTGCTTTTAATTTCAGAACGAAATCCTCTACTTGGATACACAAAAGACAACAAAGGAAGCCCTAAGTCAGTAGAACTCTGCATTTCTGTGAAATTAATATTGAAGCTACAAAAGAAATGGGGTACTTCAGGCTGTATCTATCACAGGTCCCCTATGTGGCTTTTCCATACATGATAGAATGTGATCTTATTCTGATGCCATCAACGGGGGGCAGCAACTGTCATACAGTTTCACACTACTCTCACATTACTTCTGGATCTCAGAACCTGCCACCACTACTACAACATTTACTGAGCAGATACTGTGTGCCAGGCACTGCATCAATGTTTTATATGCAGTTTTTTATTTAATCCTAGCAACTCCCTAAGACAGATGCAGATATTATTTCCACTTTAAAGGTGAGGAGACTAATACTTTGACGTTACTTCTGAGATACGTTATGAAGAACTCAAACAGTCCAGAAACGTCTGAAGAAAAGCAGCGTCTCCCCACCTTCCTGGGGACTGCTGTGCATTAACAACCAGGGACAGTCTTCCCTGCGGCAAATACTTCACACATTTTTATTAAATCCATTTCTGTGGATTTCTTTTTAAGATTATATCTGGGAAAGGCAAAGGAAGAGCAAGTTAAAGTAATTCAGCTCTTTGGCCTAACAAAAATTGCAAGCCTAGAATCAAGGGGATTAAAGGCAAATACAGTATATGTATATATTTTTTAACTTATTTCAGAGAGAAGAAGGGAAAGGGAGAAAGAGAGATAGGAACATCAATAATGAGAGAGAATAATTGATTGGCTGCCTCCTGAATGCCCCCTACTGGGGATTGAGCTTGCAACCCAGACACAAGCCCTGACCAGGAATCAAACCGTATCTCCTGATTCATGAGTTGATGCTCAACCACTGAACCACACTGGCTGGGCTAACGGCAAATATTTCTGTTGAAAGATGTCTTCCAAAACATAAACTTTTTTTAAAAAAATTTTTTACAGGGAGGTAGAGAGAGAGAGAGAGTTAGAAACATCAGTGAGAGAGAATCATCGATCAGCTGCCTCTTGCACATCCCTAATTGGGGATGTGTCCGCAACCAAGGTACATGACCGGAATCAAACCAGGGGCGCAGGCAGACGCTCTATTCCCTGAGCCAAACCGGTTTCGGCTCCCACTTTTTTAAATGACCAAAACATATAAAATCAAGTGTTCAACCATAAAACTAATTAGAGTATATGAATACAATGGAAAATTATATAGGTATAAAAAGTTTTACTTATAATTAACTGCCGGCAAACTATTAACTTGGCAAATATTCAGAATATGTTGAGTGCATAAAACAGGTGACATACCATATAATCTTAACAAATATTTTTTAAATGATAGGAATTACATAAATTATATATGTATGTGCATATATGAAAAAAAGAAATGTTAATAGTAATTATATTTCTAAATGCAATAAAACTTTCTATTTTCTTTTTTTTTTAAATATTTTATTGATTTTTTACAGAGAGGAAGGGAGAGAGATAGAGAGCTAGAAACGTCGATGAGAGAGAAACATCGACCAGCTGCCTCTTGCACACCCCCTAACGGGGATGTGCCCGCAACCAATGTACATGCCCTTGACCGGAATCGAACCTGGGACCTTTCAGTCCACAGACCGATGCTCTATCCACTGAGCCAAACTGGTTTCGGCTCTATTTTCTTCTTTATAGAAATGTTAATCATTTTAGAAAGCCTGGAAAAATATATAAAACATAATTATAAAAGGACACAGAATAGTATGTGGTTAGAAAATAAATTTTACTATTATGTTTCAGTTAATAGACAAAAAACAGTAACCTAGAATTTTAAGAACTGACTTTCTTGCTTTTTAAGGTAGAATGAATCTACACAACTTACATTTCAGTGCTGTGCGATGCCATTCACTGTGTAATATTCGTGAACACACACTGGTTTAATTGTGATACCACACACCTGACATTGCTGACCAGAGAAGACAGGAAGTACTGTTCCTCTTCAGACGCACTCTCTGACTCAGTGAGAGAAAACCTGTTATCTTCAGCGGCCTCCAGCACCACCGGCTTTCCTCTCTTTGATGACTTGTACAGCCGGAAGTTCCTGTTTCTTGTATAAACTCCTATATAAAAAAATTAGCACAGCGGTATGAACGCAAGTTTTCAGTTGTTTTTATAGTCAGCAAGTATGAAATTAGTTGCATAGCATTTTTAGGAGAAACAATAGTTCTGATTCATCCTTGGCAACCTAGAAAGACCCTGAACTCAGCCCTTCCTGTGGTCACAACGAACCCAGCTAGAGATAGAAAAACGAACTCTGGAAAAAACCTAGAATCTGGTGGGAGTCCCCTTCACAGAGAGAAAACGAAAGGAAGCCACAGCAAAGCAGGTAGGAAAGGCTGAGACACTCTCACCCTGGCAGGGTGACCCACCACATGGGGGAGGGGAGGGTGGAACCCTGAAATCCTCCTGGGGATCCCCAACTTTTAAGATCAGCACCTGGGAAACAAAACCTCCCAAACCGGTTTCGGCACTTTTAAAGTAATTATTGATGAATACATACATATTGCCATTTTGTTGTTTCCTGGCTGTTTTATATATAACCGGTTTGGCTCAGTGGTAGAGCGTCGGTCTGCAGATTGAAAGGTCCCAGGTTCGATTCTGGTCAAGGGTATGTACATTGGATGCAGGCACATCCCCAGTAGGGGGTGTGCAAGAGGCAGCTGGTCAATGTTTCTCTCTCATTGACGTTTCTAGCTCTCTATCCCTCTCTCCTCCTCTCTGTAAAAAATCAATAAAATATATTAAAATAATAATAATAATAATAATTACTTTAAAAGTGACTGGATTGCCGAAGCCAGTTTGGCTCAGTGGTAGAGCGTCGGTCTGCAGACTGAAAGGTCCCAGGTTCGATTCCGGGCAAGGGCATGTACCTTGGTTGCGGGCACATCCCCGGTAGGGGGTGTGCAAGAGGCAGCTGGTCAATGTTTCTCTCTCATCGACATTTCTAGCTCCCTATCTCTCTCCCTTCCTCTTTGTAAAAAATCAATAAAATATATTTAAAAGTGACTGGATTAAAAACTTAAATCAAAAGAGAAAGCAATGACTGAATGGATTCAAAAACAAAACCCATCAAAGATTATGGTGAGACAAAGCAAGGCATTACATAATTAAGGGGTCAATCCAAAAAGAAGGTAAAACATTTGTAAATATTTATGCAGCCAACGAAGGAGCACATAAGTATATAACGGAAATATTAATACACCAAAAAGAAGAAATATACAGCAAAACAATAATAGTATGGAACATTAATAACCTCTTACATAAATGTATAGACTATCAGGCAGGCAGAGGTGGTTAGGGGCAATGAGGCAGGCAAGCAGGCGAGCAGTTAGAAGACAGCATTTCCGGATTGCGAGAGGGTGCAGGCCGGGCTGAGGGACCCCCTCACACATATCTGTGCACGAATTTCATGTACCAGGCCTCTAGTATAAAATAAAACACCAACAGAAATCTCAAACAACCTAACTTTACACATCAAAGAACTAAAAAAAGGAAGAAAAAGCAAAGCCCAAAGTCAGTAGAAGAAAATACCAAAGATCAGAGCAGATGTACTAGCAAATGAAATAGAGACTAAAAAAATAATAGATAAGATCAAAGAAACCAAAAACCAGATCTTTGAATAGATAAAGACAACCTTTAGCTAGACTCATGGGTTGGCTCGGGGGATAGGGAGGAGGGTGGGCAAGGGGAAACTTAAATAAAGTCAGAAACAAAGGAGGAGATATTATAACTGATTCCACAGAAATATAAAGGATCATAAGAGACTACAACAATCACATGCCAACAACCTAGAATAAATAAATTCTTAGGAACAGTCTTATAATACTGAACCATGAGGAAACAGAAAATGTGAATGGTCAATTACTAGTAAGGAGATTGAAGCAGTAATCCAAAACTTCCCCACAAAGATCCAGGTGACTTTAAATGTGAATTCTACCAAATATTCAAACAAAAATCAATACCAATAGTTCTCAAAATCTTCCAAAAAGAAAATAAAGAGAACACTTACAAATTCATTTTACAAGGCTAGCATCATCCTGATAGCAAAACCAGACAAGGATTCCACAAGAAAACAAAATTACAGGCTAATGTATCTGATAGCATAGATATAAAAATCTTCAAAATAGTATTAGCAAACCAAATTCAACAATGCATTATAAGAATCATACCCCATGATCAAATCAGATTTATTCCAGGGATGCAAAGATGCTTCAATATCCAAAAAACAAACCATATACCACATTAACAAAATGAAAGATAAAAATCATATGACTATCTCAATAAATGCAAACAACAGCAACAACTGACAATATTCAACATCCGCTTATGGTTAAAACTCTCAACAAGGTGAATACAGAGGGAATGTACAGTACTTCAACATAATAAAGGTCACGTGTGACAAGCCCACAGCTAACATCATACACAGGAAGTGCTAAAAATTTTCTGATAAGATCAGAAATTAGATAAGGATGCCCACTCTCACCACCCATTCAACAAAGTATTAAAAGTTCTACCCAGAAATTAGTTAAGAAAAATAAAAGGAATCCAAATTGGAAAGAAAGAACTCTATTTGCAGATGGTGTGATATTATGTGTAAAAAGCTTTAAGGACTCCACCAACAAACTACATTTATACAGTAACCTCCCCTTTTCCGAGGTTTTAGTTTCTGTGGTCAACCATGTTCTGAGAATATTAAATGGAAAATCCCTGAAATAAACAATCCATAAATTTTAAATTGTGTGCCGTTCTGAGTTTATGATGAAATCCTACGCCATCCTGTTTCAGCCTGCAAGGAGCATGAATCATCCTTTCCTTTCTCGCCCATTCGTCATTTCTAACCATCTTCGTTATCAGATCATCTTGCAGAGTTGCAGTGCTGTGTTCAGCTGACCCTGATTTTATACTAGAGGCTCGGTGTATGAAAATTCATGCACTCCAGAGGGGAGGGGGCCCTCCGCCCAGCCTGCACTCTCTCATAGTCCGGGACCCCTCGGGGGATGTGTGCCTGCTGGCTTAGGCTCTCTTCCTGCAGGAAGCGGGCCTAAGCCGGCAGTCAGACATCCCTCTTGTAGCCTGGGAGCCCTTGCCCCTCACTGCCCACCTGCTCGCTGCTCCTTAGCGCTGCCTCAGAGGCAGAAGAGACTCCTGCCACTGCTGCTGCGCTCACCCGGCTTCTGGCTGAGCAGTGCTCCCCCTGTGGGTATCCTGTGTTGAGTATCTGTCCCCTGGTGGTCAGTGCACGTCATAGCGACTGGTCAGTCGATTTGCATATTAGCCTTTTATTATATAGGAGGATAATAATGACCCTGAGAAAAAGAGCAGTGATACTGGAAAAAAAAAAAAAAGCCAGACAGTGCTTCATTTAAGTGGAAAGGTGAGTACAGTACAGTACTAAATAAATAAAAGCAATCCAAATTGGAAAGAAAGAACTTTGAGAGAAAGAGAAAGACTACATTCACATAACTTTAGTATATTGTTATAATTGTTCTATTTTGTTAATTATTGTTGCTAATCTTTTACTGTGCCTAATTTATGAATTAAATTTCATCATAGGTGTGTATGTATAGGAAAAAAAATAATATATAGAGGGTACAGAATTACCCACAGTTTCAGGCATCTACTGGGGTCTTGGAACATATCCCCATCAGATAAGGGGACCTACTGTACAATGGAATTTCATTCAGCCAAAATAAACAAAGAAATGCTATCATTTGTGACTATTTGTATGGATTGGAGGGTATAATGCTAAATAAAATAAGCCAGACAAAAACAAATACCAAATGATCTTACTTATAGTGTGAAATCTAAAAAGAAAAACAAACCCAAACCAGCTCATAGATACAGAGAACGGCCACTTCTCGGTTGCCTCGGTTGGGAAATGGGCCAAGTGGGTTAAAGGGGAAGTCAAAAGATAAGCACTTCCAGCTCTAAGATAAGGAAGTCCTGAGGATCTAGGTACCGCATGGCAACTCTGGTTACTAATACCGTATCGTGCCCTGGCTGCTTTGGGTCAGTACACAGAGTGTCAGCCTGCGGACTGAAGGGTCCTGGGTTCGGTTCCAGTCAGGGGCACATGCCCAGGTTGCGGGCTCAGTCCCTAGTAAGGGGTGTACAGGAGGCTGAGCAATGATTCTCATTATTGATGTTTCTATCTCTCTTTCCCTCTCCCTTCCTCTCTGAAAATATAGTTTTTAAAAAATGCTCTATCACATATATGAAAGCTGCTAAGAGAGTAGATCTTAAAGGTTCTCATCACAAGAAAGAAAAATTTCTGTAACTATGTCCAGTGATGGATATCAACTAGACTCACTGTGGTGATTATTTTGCAATATGTACAAATATCAAATCATTATGCTGCATATTTCAAATTAATGTTGTACACTTCAAACTAATGTTGTATGTCAATTATATCTTAATTCAAAAAACCAATAAAATGAAGGTGAATAAAGTCACCTTCAAGGACAAAAATACATACATAAATACTATATTTTTAAAAAATACATTTTACATTTTACCAGATGTAAGCAAAAGCAACACATAAATTAAAATAAATTGGAGATGGCGAGAAAGAATGCCGCATCCAGAAATAGCAAACTAGAGTATTTTGGAGGCAATCCTCCTAATAAATAAGTAGAAAGGCTGGACAATGTGTTAGGGAAAAAGTCAGACTATGAGAGAGCTTTCAAGATGGTGATGATTTGTGGTGCCAAATCTCAGAAAAGAGGGAGGCGTCAAAACATCCAGCATATATCTCTCTCTCCCTCTCTCCCTCCCTCTCTCTCCCCCTCTCTCTCCTCTCTGGTATTAGAGAGTAGATTAGAGATTAGCTCTGCGGAGGAGTGGGTAATGCCTGGAAGGGGATGGAGGAGGTGCTGGGTCCTGTCACCTTCTATTTCTTGTCTTGGGTGATGTGGTGACAGGATATGTCCATTTTGTGGGAACTCACTGACCTGTACACTCACAAATCATGCGTGTTTCTGTCTGAATGTTATACTTCAATAAAAGTGTTTTCTAAAAAAATGTTGCCCTGTCCTATTACGCCTGGTGTTTACGTCCCACAGGGACCTCCCTGAGATCTCTGAACAGCAACCCGCGCTCCTGCCTCCATCCTGCTGGTGACCCCACGGCCACGGGGACAGGCACGGACTCGTCCTCACAGAAGGCACAGGACGGCCTCACAGAGCTGCTGCTGCTGTCACTCACCTAGATCTACAAAGAGGCGCCTTTTCCCTGCAGGGTCCCTCACAACCAGGAAGGAAAGGTCAGGGCTGCTCCGCTCCGCGGACCCCAGCCCGCCCGGGGCCTCTGAATTCCGTGTCCGGCTCTCTCCCGTCTCCGTGTCTGTGGACATTTCACTGCAGGAAACTCCTTGGTTAATCGGTGGTTCAGAAAAAGGGGGAAATGCTTGGCCGGTTGTCTCTGGAATCCCACCATCATCTTCAGCATCTCCACTGGCAATCAAATGAAAAGCAGGCTGCAGAATCTTTCGCACAAAATTACCTACGGAAAAAAATCATGATTAATCTAATCCTTCTTTTTCACAAACTGTAACTTAAGATCTAGGCCCAAATCTACCCAATTTTTCACAGCAAGCCTCCTTTTTATTTTTGGTATTAGCACTGAGCTGTTACTATAAACTGGAACATGCCTCTCCTGTTACTTTCATGTAAATAAGATTAGAGAATGCAATGCTGTAGAAATTTTTAATTTTAATCTTTAAAACTCGTATAATCTGAGTTTGTCACTTTAGTTACCATATAGCATAAACCCTAAGTTATATAAGATGTACATGCTTTAAATTAAAAAATCTTTCTACAAATTAGACTTAATTACCTCCTTACTCAAAGAAATAAACCCACTGTCTTATAAACACTAAACATCAAAATGAGGGCAAAAGCATTTGATCCTTGCAATCATATACAGAAACGATTATTTCTGGATTAGGAGAAACGAGGTAAATTCTGAGTGAGGTGAAAGCGTATGTCAAAAGACGACAAAGCAATCTATCTATCTACATAAAAAGCCAGCAACCGGGGATGCCGTAACGACTGGAATGACCAGTCACTATGACACCTACTGCAGCCAGCAAACCAGCCCAATTGGGGTGGGGGGGACACACACACGACACAACCCCCCATGGCCCCTCCCTCTCCAGGCCGGCCCAGTTCCTGATCAGCCCCTCCACTCCCCGGCCTCGCCAATGATAGGCCCCCACCACCCCAATTGGCCCATGGTCCCTCCTCACAGTCAGCTCCACCCCTGATCAGCCCTCCCACTCCGATCAGGGGGAGGTCCAGCTGGCCAACCACCCTAGACCCCTTCCCCAGGCTGCTGGCCCCTGATCGCCCCCCACACCCTAATTAGGGGCGCGGCCCACTGGCCAATCACCCACAGCCCCTCCCCTGACCTGGCCCGGCCCTGATTGGGCCCCAATCAGAGCAGGCAGGCTGGCCAACCTCCCGCCATCTCCTGCTTCTGACATGCCCACCCCATCGGGCCAGCCAGTGGACCTCCCCTGTGCACGAATTTGTGCACTGGGCCTCCAGTACAAATATAAAAGGACAGAGTTAATTTTCCTGGAAACGCAGAATGACACCCCCCTGAGAGTGGGCAGCGCTAAGAGCAGTGGGGCCCTGGCTCAGAACCAGGTGCCAGGGCAGCACTCAGGAGGCCCTGCGGGCCTTTGACCTTGGGCAGGGAGCTAATAGGACCAGGATATGCTGTCAGGTGTGGAGAGAGTATATCAAGCATATCAATAAGTTATTAAATGCCTACTAGTACTTATTATCGTTGCCTCTGCTATTATTGATAAAGATATTATTATGTAATAAGCTCTAAAAACACTCTCCCTGCCCTCAAGAAACATTAGGCGGAGTAGACACAAACACAAGCACCAGGAAACTGCCTCAGGAAGTGGTGATCGCTCAGCGCTGGGCAGTCCCGCGACCCAGAGGACATGAGCCCAGCCTTTGGGCTGCACAGAAAAGGCTTCTCCGGTGAGGATTTCTACGCTGAGTCTCAACACACCAGGCTGGAGGCAGGCCCCTTCAGACAGCAGAGGCCCCGGACTGGAGAAAACAGGGCCCAGTGGGAGTCCAGTAGAGCGAGAAGAGCCAAGTTTCGAGAGATGAGGCTAAAGCACAGGGATCTCACTGTGCAAACTAAGACGGGGGCTTTTTCCGGAAGGCAGCGTGTTATCCGTCAAGGGCTTGAGACCCTCCAGGGGCATAAACAGATCACTCTAGCTAGCCGACTGAATAGGACGCTGGACCGCGTCTAGAGGTCAAAGGTGACACCACTTCCACTTAGGTAACTGGATGGATGGTGACACCACTCACAGATATACCCACCACAGGATGAAACAGCAAGTTCTAGGGGAAAGGGGAGGTGTTTGGTCATGTGCAGTTTGAAGCTGACTGTATGGGTCTGGTGTCAAGAACAATAACCTTGACTGAAGAAGTAGTTTTGAGTCATCAACACAGAGATGGTAACTGGAGCCATGACAGGGAATGACCATCAAGGTTAACAGGGGACAAAGACGGGATCTACAATCACTACCACTGAGGAATGAGAGACCAGAGAATCAATGTACAGCTAAGCTGACAGAACACATGGGGGAAATAAGGAGCCCGGGCACCTCAGACACTAGTCTTGTGTACAGACCAGTGGTTATGTGACTAGGCTCATGTCTTTCACCCTGGAAATTGTCAGGCACTTGTCAATCTGAAATGGGTACAAGGTCCTTGGACTTCAGTCAATGGTCTGCTGTTGGAACTTAGGAATACCTGCCTGCTCTGCCCTGTCGGATGAACAATCAGGGTTGTGACTTCTATTCAAACCTTGGTTTTCTGTGTTCCCATTCTGCCCACTTGTTCCCCTTTGGACTGACTTCATTTTACACCTGGGACTCTGTTTCTATATTTACCATCCTGAAACAAGTACGCTGGTTACACTTTCAGGTTTACACATCTAGATTCCTTATGAGCCCTAAGGTGTGGTCTGGGACAATAAATAAATAAATACAGCTCTAACCGGTCTGGCTCAGTGAACAGAGCGTCGGCCTGTGGACTAAAGGGTCCGGGTTCGAATCCGGTCAAGGGCATGTACCTTGGGTGCGGGCACATCCTCAGAAGAGGGTGTGCAGGAGGCAGCTGATCGATTTTTCTAACTCTCTATCCCTCTTCCTTCCTCTCTGCAAAAAAATCAATAAAAAACAGTAAAAATAAAAAATAGTACACTTACCCACGTGAATGTTATCTTTAAATGCCACATCATGGAGTTGAAATATCAAATGGCGGCTAAATTTCTCATCAGTGCTAGAATCTAAATTGAAAACATCTTCAGCTGAACAGTTAACTCTGTATAACTCTTGAAGTGCTTTACAAACATGCTAAAAACACAAGAAACAAATGTTTTTCATGAGCACAATTAAAATATCTTGGTACAAATATTACTCACACCCAGGACTGCTCATTCCCAACTGCTCGCCTGCCTGCCTGCCTGTCTGCCTGCCTGCCTGATTGCCCTTAACTGCTTCTGCCTGCCAGCCTGATCACCCCCTAACAGCTCCCCTGCCAGCCTGATCAACACCTAACTGCCTTCCCCTGCTGGCCTGGTCACCCCTAACTGCCCTCCCCTGCAGGCCTGGTCCCCCCCAAAATGCCCTCTCCTGTAGGCCTGGTCTCCCACAACTGCCCTCCACTGCCAGCCATCTTGTGGCAGCCATCTTGTGTCCCCATGGAGATGGTCATCTTGTGTGTTGGAGTGATGGTCAATTTGCATATTACCTCTTTATTATATAGGATTATTATATAGGATATAGGATAGTAAGGCAATAAGCTTGGGTCAGGAGCACAAGATTTGAAGTCAGAAAAATCTATGTTTGAATTCTGGCTTTGCCACTTAACAGCTCTGTGACTTTGGTGAAGTGCAAACCTTACAGTCCTCAACTGCAAAATGGGATATACTAGACCCTAACTTTCGGGACTGTTGCAAGGAGGAAAAGAGAAAACGAGGGTAAAGGGTTAGCACAGCGCCTGGCACGTGTAACAAACCATTAGCCATGTAGCCAAGGACCAGTTGCTTCTCCTGAAGCCTCAGTCTTCTCATTTGTAAAAACAGTTACTAAAACATGCAGGGCTAAATGTTTGTAAACTGCCAAGCACCCAGCTACCAAGAGTCATGCGACAAACTGTATTTATTAATGCTGTGCTGGCATTATTATAGCACCCCCGCCCCCATCCTCTCTGATCCTACCCTCTTCAGTAAATTCTCACTTTGCCTAATCGTTACGAGAGCCACCTACTTATAATGTAAGCCAGAGAATTAAAGACAAAAACAAAACAAAAAATCCAGAAAATTCCTCAACTGCCACTTTTTCCTCAATGCTTCTTTTTTTACTGGATATAGTAATGTTAAAAAATATATGAACCAACACTGAACTTACTCCTTTTAGAAGTTTACTCAGAGAAGCAATATTAAGAGATAAATGTCAAAAGTAAGGGGAGGAGAACCACGGAACCTACACAAGATGTCCAAAAAAAGTATACACACTTGGAATGATTATAAAATCAGTGTTTTTTAGCATACAGTTCATTTAAAAACTTTATAAAACTTTAAAAGAACGTACAGAAATGAATAATTTTTCTGTCAATGCCTGTTTTCAAACTGATGACTGTTCTGGTCCAGGCACTGCTGAAAACACGAAGCAATGGAATCACAAACATCAAAAATAATTTTGTTTGGTATTTGTGCACCTTCATCAGCTATTACCAAGTTTTGTACCGTAAACTTTATCTTTTGTGTGTCCCCATAAAAAAAAGTCTAGTGGCACTATAGGATAAATTTTCTTTGTTCAAAGCTTAGTCTAGCTTCACTCATTATTTCAAATCAGTTAAACCTGAAAATGAGTGAAAATTAAGTTAGTTATCAGCTGTTAGAGTGTGTATATATTATATTTTGGGGGGACACCCTGTATATTACATAGGCTAGATTCACTTAATGAATAAAAATAGAGACAGATGGATGTACGGAAAAAAACCAGAGCCTGTAAATTACCTCAATGAGTAATGCAACCATCTTTTTTCCATCAGCTCCAGGATTGGCAAGTTTGTTAAATTCCAGATCAAAATAGAGCTTGCAAACAGTGTTTTCAGGAATGACTTCATAGCAGTGTAAGAGATGTTTTCTAAATTGAATAGTTCATGATTGTTAGTCTTGTATCTGATACCTTTTAAATCATAGAACTTGATCTTATATCTCAAGATACCATATTAGCTGTTTTAATTACATATATATATATATATATATATATATATATATATATATGAGCATAAGCAACGGGAATGACTGGAACTACCAGTCACTATGACATGCACTGACCACCAGGGGGCAGATGCTCAATGCAGGAGCTGCCCTGGGTGGTCAGTGCGCTCCCACAGCCAACCTCCCCCAGCCGATAGGCCCCAATCGGGGGCCAGCCCTGAGGCTAGGACGGGGAAGTGGGGGTGAATGGCGGTGGACACGACCCCTTTTCCAGGGGTCTGAGGGCTGGCTCCCTCCTTGGGGCCGGCAGCCCACCTCCCGCGCTCTGTCCTTCACCCCGGCCAGCCAGCAGGCCCCAATTGGCCTGCCACCCGCCCACGATGGCAGCGCAGTGGTGAGGGAAGGGGGAGAGGTGGGGAACCACATGGCACCAATGATGGCGGTGTTGGCATTTTCCGTCAGTTCCTTCCATGCCTAGCCTGGCAACAGTCGCCTCCTCTCCAGCCTGGCCCTGATTGGCCTAGCCCCAATCAACGCTGATCGCCTGCCAGGCCTAGGGACCCCACCCATGAATTTCATGCACCAGGCCTCTAGTGCTATAACAAAAACATGATGAACTGAACAACTCACCATAAGTTTATCGAGTTTCCAACAAATAAAATGTAACAATCACATTCTTAATATTATTTAACTGGAAAATATGGTCCACTTCATACTGTTTATTTACATATGAGTTTATGTAACACTTCTATATTTGTTTTTGGTGTCACCATGAAGCTAATTTTGTTTGGGAAAAGAGCTTTTTCACACTGGAATCCCATAATTACATATTCTTGGGATTCCATGAATTTTTTTATAGGATTTTTAAATTTACTATTTTCATTAGGAAAATAATATTTTAAAAATTAGTTTAAAACATTCCACATCAGCTGACTTGAATGAGCTTTCCGTGCTCATGTTTGCAGTTAGCACCCTTGCTGGCACCCACAAGTTTGACTTTAACAGGGTTAATAACATGCTGAGCCCTGCCAGTGTGGCTCAGTGCCTGAACATCAACCTATGAACCAGGAAATCACAGTTTGATTCCAGATTAGGGTACATCACTGGGTTGCAGTCTCAATCCCCAGTGGGGGGCATGCAGGGGACAGCTGGTCGATGATTTTCATCATTGATGTTTCTATCTCTCTCCTTTTCCCTCTCCCTTCCTCTCTGAAATCAATAAAAAATATATTAAAAAAAATAATAGATGCTGACTTGATAATGAAAGGATAACTTATGCTAAATGAAGTGTGGATGGTTTCCTACACAAATATAAAGTTTGTAGTAATCTGAACAAGGAAAAATGATGAGGGGAATTGTGTCATCATGGGGCGCATGTAGAACAGAACCTACACATTCACACACACACACACACACACACACACACACACACTCTTCTCCCAGCACCTGGTGAGATAATTCAATGTTGTGACACGGAAGCTCCACAATTCAATTCTAATAGTAAATGGATAGTAACTAATTATGTGATTGAGAACTATCAAAGCCAATTCAGTCTGAATTCATTTCACAAACATTATTAGATGCAGGAAATGTAACTTAACGTTTACAAACTGCTTACCGGGATTTATAATGAAACCAAAGTTGAACATAGCTTGTTACAAGGTAAATACGTTGTCCATCGCCCACTTCGCATTCCAAAGCAAATACATGAACATCCTTTGTAAAAGCAAAAAAAAGTCAAAAAGTAATAAAATGAAAATCTAAAGTCAAGTACAGCTATTACATGTCCATAAAGAGTTGTACTATTCAAATGTCAAACACTGGAATTCGAACGCTTTATTGAACATTCTAGAAGCCCAACGCACGAGGGTTTGTGCAAGAATAGGCCTTCCTTCTCCGGGCCGCCGGCATGCCGCAGGCTCGCTCAGGCAGCCTGTGCAGTGGCGGTGGTGGTGGCAAGCCCTGCACACCTCGGCGCCGCTTCCTCCTCTCCCTCCTTCTCAGGAGAATTCCTCTGTGCAGGGCTGCTCCAAGACTACTAGAGTTTTGTTTATCAGAGCAGCGGGACAGGGGTGGGATAGAGGGAGGCACCATACACCAGGAGCTACAACTTCAGGCACCAGAGGTTTGCCTCTGAGGCTGGGGGCTGGGCCACAGGGAGGCTGAAAGGACAGTTGACAGGTGTGGAGTGCAGCAGGGAGGCCCTGAGGAGGCTTGCTGCCCAGAGGCCTGAAGCACCTGGGGGGGGCGGGGCCGTCACCATCTTTGTTAGGTTAATTTGCATACTCATTCCTCATTGGCTGTGGGTGTCACAAAGTGATGATCAATTTACATGTTTCTCTTTTATTAGTATAGATTATTATAAACAAGGAAAATAATCACTAGATCTATGCCAATTAAAATCTAATTATTTGTATTTATTTATTTTTAGTCACTCAAGTAATGCATATTTAAGACAGAAAAAAAGGAAAAAAATCAGTCTAGTTTTACTTTCTATTATATTTGCTATTTTATGAAATTAAACTTATTTTTTAAAACTAAACATTATAAATTATTTGGGATAAAATTAATAATTCTTTAGTACATATAAAAACATGGAAAATAATTTTTAAATGTAAGTTAATCTTAAAAGCTTAAAGGGAGTTTTAAAATGCTTAACTTTAACAAGCGACTATAAATTCTCTTTTCTACGGGAAACCAATCTTTTTTAAGTTAATTGCTGTGGCACTTGGTATAATTGCTTGTGTCTGCTGCCATATAGAGTTTCTTCCAATAAGGAAAACTCAAGATCCTCTGTCCCTTTTTAGCCAACAGTAGCTGTTGAACCTAAAGAAACTAAACTGCCATTTTCAGGAGTGAGAAATCATGGGAGGACTAAGTGGCCTCAACCTATTCAAAATTTTCTGAAATAAATTTTATAGATTGTTAATTAAGGGCAGCAACCATAATCCTCTATATGTTTTTTTTTAATTCAAGATCAAATGAATCTGTCATTATTTAAACTTCTGACATCTAAATTTGGTTTACGCAGAATAAGCATGAAAAGTGTTTGTTTCCCACACTATTCTGATAAGATCTGAGTTAGCTTCTCTTTACAAGGCAAAGAAGGGGCCTTGTCTTAAACTTTTAGCACTGAGGTTTTTGTTTTTGTTTGTTTTAAATATATTTTATTGATTTTTTTTTTTTTTACAGAGAGAAAGGGAAAAGGATAGTTGGTGAGAAACATCGATCAGCTGCCTTTTGCACACCTCCTACTGGGGATGTGCCTGCAACCAAAGTACATGCCCCTGACTGGAATCAAACCTGACAGTCCACAGGCCGATGCTCTAGCCACTGAGCCAAATCGGTTAGGGCTAGCACTGAGTTTTTGTATAGCATCAATGATCAGAACCACAATATATTTATGCTAGATTTCATATATGCATCTTTACACAGCTGACCTTTAAACATTGCAGGGGTTAGGGGCACCAACACCCATACAATAAAAAATCTGTGTGTAACTTTTGACTCTCCAAAAACTTTACTAATAGCCTACTGCTGACCTGAAGTCTTACCAATAACAAAAACAGTTGATTAACACAGATTTTGTACATGTACAGGCACTTCAGATGTGTGTCTTACAAGTTGAAGGCAACACCCTACAGCAGCAAAAAGATTACGACCAGCTTTATTGAAACTCACTTTATTGCGCTGGTTTAGAACCAAACCAGTAATATCTGAGGTATTTTATTGCACTTCAGATGTGTGTCTTACAAGTTGAAGGCAACACCCTACAGCAGCAAAAAGATTACGACCAGCTTTATTGAAACTCACTTTATTGCGCTGGTTTAGAACCAAACCAGTAATATCTGAGGTATGCCTGTACTATATCCCTTATTTTTAAAAAATATATTTTATTGATTTTTTTACAGAGAGGAAGGGAGAGAGATAGAGAGCTAGAAACATCGATGAGAGAGAAACATCGACCAGCTGCCTCCTGCACACCCCCCACCGGGAATGTGCCCGCAACCAATGTATAATACACGCCCTTGACCGGAATCAAACCTGGGACCCTTCAGTCCGCAGACCAACGCTCTACCACTGAGCCAAACCGGCTTCGGCTATATCCCTTATTCTTACAACAAAGTAAGCTAGCAAAAAGAAAATGTTGTTAGAAACATTATAAAGATGAGAAAGTGCATTCACAGTGTATAGTGACAATAATCCAGGAACAAGTGAGCCCACACAATTCAAACCTGTTACTCAAGGGTCACCTGTACTTCTTTATATTCCCCGCAATGCCCCTAGAACAAAGAAGTGCAAAGCACATCTGATTTGGGTTATTTTTGAGCAGCACATCCTTGGTGAGGCTAGCATGTTGCAAGCTCTTCTTCCCACTTGCCCCATGTGCTGGAAACTGTCATGATAAACCCACTCTACGACTCCCAAGCACAAACGGAGATAGAAACACACGTGCGCTTTGGCACTAGGATTTATGTTCCAGAGCTTATTAAATGTAAGCTATAATATCTGAGACATTTTCATTTCCTACTGTTGAAATTCAATTATTCTTTTCCCCAATTTTGACCTTAAAAAAATCTCATACACCACTCATTCATTTTCTTGTATTTCTGCGAGTATTGTTTTACTGTTAAAATCTCATTCTATTACTTTTCAGTCTGTAAACATGGCCACTCTTCCTCAAAACACCGCTTCATTTACATGTCATTAATCTTTAAAAATTGTCACTAGGCATGTCATTCCTTTTCATTATTAATATAAAGGAAATGGCTAATGACTCCATGTTTTTCCTAAATCATGTGGTACTAAGACCACAATTAGCTGAGACCGGTTGGCTCAGTGGATGGAGTGTTGGACTGTGGATGGAAAGGTCCCGGGTTCGATTCCGGTCAAGGGCATGTACCTTGGTTGCGGGCACATCCCCAGTAGGGGGTGTGCAGGAGGCAGCTGATCAATGATTCTCTCTCATCGATGTTTCTAACTCTCTATCCCTCTCTCTTCCTCTCTGTGAAAAACCAATAATATATTTAAAAAAAAAAAAAAAAGACCACAATTAAATTCTTTTGGTTGATATGTGGCCAGAAATAAAGACAAACTTGATTTTTTTATTTATTTTAGAAATCTTAAGTCATCATAGCTCTAAAAACAAGGAGGAAATGAAAACATTACCTCTTTGCAGCTTTTAACAAAATTGAAAGCTTGCGTTTGGCGAGGAAACAGTTTCCAAATAGAGGGTGGCTCTCGTGGCTTTGACAGCCTGGGCCTGTACACGGAGGACAGGGGCTTCCTTTGGTAACGGGATGCTCGCTCTTCAATCTGCTTCAGTTTTGCTTCCCATCTTCTCTTCATCGGTTCAGAAGTGCGGGCAGACCAAGTCCTGTCCCATGTAAGATGGCTAGCAATTACACCTAAAACGAACAAGGACACCAATGTTTTGGTTTAGGATATATAGTTTGGTAAAACTTCAAAACTCATTTTCTACTCTGCTTTCTATCTGATGTCTTGCGTGAAGTTTTCCTGTAAAGGAGAACAGCTGGTTATGAGAAACCTTTTTAGGGGTGTCAAACTCAATCAGAGAAGGGGCCAAAATCTAAAATCCAGCCTAAATCGCGGGCCGAATGGTTTACTGAACAGTCATAAACTGTCATTGTGATGGAAACGCAGCGGAGTGCAGTGATGACAGCGCAGTGTGGGCCACATTGCAAGGCCTGGCGGGACGAATTTGGCCCGCAGGCCTTGTGTTTGACACATGTGCTTTAGATACTGGCCCTCATATGACAATGCGATGGTTTTAGACAAGCTCCCTGAATCTTCCTCACCTGGGAAGGGAACCAATCTCCTTTTTAATATTTTACCTGGAGGATAGATACAAAAGACTTGTGAAAATGTTTTGTAAATTACAAGACCTCATGTAGATGTGTTTTTGTATCATTATGGTTTCTATTATGACCATTTTATTGCATCAAGGGCTCTCTTCCTTCCCCAGCTGCTGCTTTGGCCATCATCCTTGTGCTATGGTTAGTGTCAAGTTCATTCCTAGGCTCCACTGTGCAGTTCTTAGCTCCCTTTTTTTTTCTTCTTTTATTTAAAAATATATTTTATTGATTTTTTACAGAGAGGGATAGGGATAGAGAGCTAGAAACATCGGTGAGAGAGAATCATTGTTCAGCTGCCTCTTGCACACCCCCTACTGGGGATGTGCCCGCAACGAAGGTATATGCCCTTGACCGGAATCGAACCTGGGACCCTTCAGTCCATAGGCCAACACTCTATCTACTGAGCCAAACCGGTTTCGGCAGCTCCCTTTTCTTCTGTTCTCTTCAATGCTCTCAACACATCTGTTCGTTGGGAGGATAACTCAGTGTATAAAAGTGAAATACAATATTGGCCAGTTTTGCTTTGCATTGTCTGTAGTAATCATAAGGATGATTTTTAAAAGGAATAAATAAATATTTACTTCTGTCTGTCAATTTAATGACTGAGAATGACTACATTTTAACTCTTGTTTATTATTGACATTTGTTTTGTGGTTTGTTTGTTTGCATACAATGCTTTCACGTTAACCACACCAAGGTAAAAAATCAGGCAACATTTTTTCCAATTTGGGATTATGGTTCACTTACCATAGGAAAAGGGATAGGTTTTTTTGTTTGGTTGGGTTTTTTTCAGGCAAATATGTTTAATTTTTTAAAATAACTGATGGCAAAATAAAATATTTACATCACATCATACTGTGTAAACATGTAAGGTCTCTGTACAAAGAAATACACATGCAAATAATGTAAAATTTTAACTGAAATAATAGAAGAAACAATACACAAATAAAAGTTGTGAGGTTATGAATACACATCCAGTTCTGAATCCAATTTATTTTAAAAAGTTTCTGTATAATTTTATAAGAAACAAACAAAACCCAAATGCTGGAAACAAATCAGTTTCACTAAAAAGAGATGTTGACAGGAAGCCAGGAAGGCTGGTCAATAACCTTAATTGCTCTCACTACTCACCCTTTAGTTGAGACATTGTTAGCTGAAGCAGCCTCCACCTTGTTGGTCCCGTGTAATTTTCTGTTATTTCCTGCCCAAGGGCTACATGTAAATGTCTGTTTATGTTGTCTAAGATGTTTTCCCCAGAGCCTCCATAAAGGGATGGCAGGGCCAGAGCAGGAGTTCTCCCACTAGGGTTGGACTACCGCCTGGGCCCCCATATCGCCAAATTGAATTTCTTCAAGTCTCTTCATTTGTGTGCGGCCCTTCTCCAGAACCCGAACCCTGAATTGGAACTCTTTCTACGCGGGCCGTGAAAGAGGTTCTTACACCCAAAATAAAATACAATGGAAGCTGCAAAGCTTAGCTACGCCACTTTACGGCTCAAGACCCAGGTGTCTGGCTGGCTCGGGAAGCAGGCTGGCCTCTGTTTTAGTGTAAGGGATAGGTTTTTAGAAGGGTTACGTGTGTGTGTGTGTGTGTGTGTGTGTGTTTGTGTGTGGCGGGAGAGGAGGTGCGGTATGTAGAATGAAAATGGTCACAAATTCTTTGCCATTCCTCTCATCAAGAGATGCCATCTAGCCCTAAGAGGTTTGGCTCAGTGGATAGAGCATCAGATTTAAGGGTCCCAGGTTCGATTCAGGTCAAGGGCATGTACCTTGGTTGTGGGCATATCCCCAATGGGAGGTGGGCAGGAGGCAGCTGATCAATGTTTCTAACTCTCCGTAAAAAGTCAATAAAATATATATATGTGAGTGTGTGTGTGTGTGTGTGTGTGTGTGTATCTATCTATATATATATATATATATATATATATATATATATATTTTTTTTTTTTTTTTTTTTTTTTTTTTTTAAAGAGAGAGGCCATCTAAGCCCATTCCCATACTGACTCAGCTTGGACATGTGACTTGCTTTGGCCATGTTACATCAACGAATGTGAAGCAAACAGAGGGTTAATAAGTGCTTTGCATTGAATGTGGCTCTCTTGGAGTCCCTTCCTTGAGAGTGTTGTGCTGTAACTCTAGCCTCAGAGAGGATAAAAGCCATCTGGAGGAGAACGAACGTACCCCAGCTAACAGCCAGCACCAACTATCAGATGATATGAATTAAGCCATTTCAGATTATCCAACCATCATTAGATTCAATGCTTGAGTAAGCCCAAGTAAACTCAGGTGAGACCTGCTAAACAACTGCCCAGGCAACCCACAGAAATGTAAAATAAAAAAAATAAAAATAATAAAATGTTTTTTTAAGCCAGTAAGTTTTGGCCTGGTTTTCATACAAAAATACATAACTCATATAGTTTCCCTCTTCATTAATAACATTTACAACATAATTTGTCTAGTTGAAAACTGGTATATTAGTTTAAGTGAAATAATAATATATACTAAAGTATTTGAGGGTAAAATTTCTACTTACCTTTGGCACTGTCTTTCTAGTACTTGTCTTTACCAAGGTGATAGTCTCTTGAATTTTAGCAGAAAACTCTGAGACAACACAAACGGTATTCCCTAGAAGAAAAAAATAGAATCACCCTAAAAGTTTAAGAGAGGGTAGGAATGAATATCATGACATGACTGAAAAAAAGAAAAAAGTTATTATCCATAGATTCCAATCTGACTTCAAACATAACAGACCTAAGAAAGATTCTTCTCTCCAACTTACAGCTAATCCACATGAAAATCATAAATTATAAACCAAGAACAGAAATACAGTTCTAAAGGTATCAACATAAATTTTATAACCGATATACTTAAAAAAGGCATGTAATTTCATTGGATTGAAGAGATAGGGCATTTTTTTTTTTTTAACAAAACTGCTTTAATTTTTTCAATACAAAGTGGTGTGGCTCCTTATTGCTAGATTGTGAGTATTCAGTTCACTTTAATCTGCTTCTCATACAGATAAAAATCCCCCACATTTAGCCGAAGCCGGTTTGGCTCAGTGGTAGAGCGTCGGCCTTCAGACTGAAAGGTCCTGGGTTTGATTCCGGTCGGGGGCATGTGCCTTGGTGCGGGCACATCCCCAGTAGGGGTTGTGCAGGAGGCAGCTGATTGATGTTTCTCCCTCATCGACGTTTCTGGCTCTCTACCTCTCTCCCTTTCTCTCTGTTAAAAATCAATAAAATATATTTTTTTTAAAAACCCAAAACCCACATTTAGACAATCTATTTGAGAATCCGTCTTTTCTTCTGTGAAATCTGACTTTTAATAAAGCCCGCTGATTACTTAATGAAGAAAATAAATACAGAATGCAATGAGATGTGAATTACAACTTGAGTACCTAACCAATAAGTGACGAGGAATAACCACGCGGATGTTCACACTTAGTAGGACACGGCATCACAAAAAATGTTTTTGATTTTGCAAAATTATTGGTATGACCTTGGGGCTGTGTCATACTTAAAGTCCTGGGGTCACGGTGGAAAACCAGCTTAGCACTTATCGCAATGAGAAAACCACGAATGTCAACAGAGAAAAAAAGAGAAGTTCAACGTATGTTACTAGAGGCTCGATGCACAAAATTCATGCAAGGGCCTCCGCCCTCACAGCCTTGGCTGCCTCCTGGCCCCACCCACTCTTCCTTCCAGAAGGCCAGTTTGCCATCCAGTCTAATTAGCATGTTAGCTCTTTATTACATAGGATGCCCTCATGTTCTTTGCGCACTTTGAAACTTTTAACAGCTGGGTGGAGGGCTAGAAGACAACTGGGCTGGAATATTCCCACATGCAGGAGGCTGGAGGGCTCCAGCAGAGCCCACGGGGAACGGGAATGCATCAGGCATCTGGTTTTGGATATGGCATTCCTCATTTCTACCCTCAGCGGAACCATTTCAGAAACACTTGTCATTCCTGGTGGGAAGAGTTCTGTTTTACTTGTATGTCATGGTACAGCAAAATCCCTTTTCACATAGGGACGGTGACTATTTTTATTTAGGTTTCCAAGTTCCAAAGAAAAGTATTTGTCGCACTTTAAAATAGCAGGCTAAGCCGAAACCGGTTTGGCTCAGTGGACAGAGCGCCAGCCTGCGGACTGAAAGGTCCTGGGTTCGATTCCGGTCAAGGGCATGTATCCTAGTTGTGGGTACATCCCCAGTAGGGGGTGTGCAAGAGGCAGCTGATTGATGTTTCTCATCGATGTTTCTAACTCTCTATCCCTCTCTCTAAAAAAAAAATCAACACACACACACACACACACACATATATATATATATATATATATATATATATAATAGTAGGCTTTAAGAGCTCTGTTATTTATTTCTACACATTGCACCAGAGTTTTCATTTAATCGTATTCAATGCTGGTTTTACAACGAAAGATGGTCAGGCTCGGTTCAAGGCAAGCTTATGCTAAAATGATTAGAGGAACTGTAGGTTCAGGAGAAGGGGAAGCGGGGAGTGAGGTGGAGAGAAGACAGATAAACAAGCTAAACAGCCCGGTTTCCCTCGGTTTATGCCTGGACTTGCCCGAGGTGCCACTGGATGGCCTGGTACCCAGGAACAGCTGGACAAGGGGGCGTGGACTTGGCTCCGAGGGAGATCTGAGGCCGGCCTTGCGTGCCTCTGCCCGGCCTAGTTTTCCTGCTTGTTTGTTTCATCACAAGCCAGTCTAATTCCCCAACTTACATCAGTGTTTTGTGTTTCCTGGCATTTATGTTCTAGGTCTAGTATTTAGTAAGGTTCTGGTATTGGGTAATGTTTTCTTCATATAATCCTTTTAGGGCCTTTTGGAAAACGTTTATGTTGTGTCTCCCATGGCTAAACTTTTCAAAATAAAGTATGGGATTAAAATTCACTCACACTAACAGCATTATAGAAATTTGCTTTCCAGATGAATAACATCAAAGTAGAACTAATTCACTGACTCTCGGGCCTTCCCCACTTCAACTGCTTCACCTGCCTGTGCTTGAACAGAGCCCATACATTTCCAAAAAATCTCCGATAGGAGATACAACATACTGTCCTTTCCCAGTTCCTTCTTTCCACTCTCTCCAGAGGGTCTCCCATCCAAAAAGCCCACCTCTGCCAGACTCATCAATCACCCTCACATCCATTCTCAGAACTCTGCCGAGGGACATCCTTCCTGGCCCAGAGCACACCCAATGCACAGCTTGGTTTACCGCAAGATGACCAAACGCCAGAACCTCGCCCTCAACCAATCACCCCTTTTTCTCAGTTATTAGGTGAGAAGGCTGTTGCCCAGCCTTCTCACCTGATAACTGAGAATGACCTCTCCCTCCCCGCACCTGGCCACTCCCAGGCTCCCGGGCCTGTTGCGCTCACCGGGCCCGCCCACTTGCTTTCCCCAAAGTCTTTCCCTTCAAGTCCTGCCACCTGCGGGACCCTCTGTAAAATGAAATGACTGGCCCATCAGCGGGCGCCTCCAGCCACAAGACCCAGTCAATTAATATAATTTAAGGAAAAACAGAAAACCGCTGCTGCTGCTGTAACGAGCATCGTTTTGGTAAGAAAGCTGAGCACGGGCAGGGCCTGGGCACAGCAAAGGGCTCCTCCACCAGCGCCTTCCTTGGGAATAACGGTGTGCGAACCGCGGTCAGGAGTGGGCGTGCCCTATCCTCAGGGCTCACTGCAGCACCATTAGAAAAGGACAGCCAAACCCCGGTCCTCTCTCAGCTTGGGAGAGATTGAGAAAGCCCTGACGGTTATTCCTGGGGCCCCGAATGGAACTCCTGCAACAAAAAGCCAACCACTTCACCTTTCCGAAGCCGCAGCGGGGATGGGAGTGAGGAGTGCACCCCTCCAGGGCTTGTTGAAAGAATAAAATAAAGTGTGAAACCGGTGTGGCTCAGTGGATAGAGCGTCAGCCTGCGGCCTGAAAGGTCCCGGGTTCGATTCTGGTCAAGGGCATGTACCTTGGTTGCGGGCACATCCCTAAGTGGGGAGTGTGCAGGAGGCAGCTGATCGATGATCCTCTCTCATGGATGTTGCTAACTCTCTATCCCTCTCTGTAAAATAATTTTTTAAAAAAAGAAAATGTGTGAAAATGTAAGAGCCCAGAACAAGCACTCCACAAGTGGTAGCCATGCACCGCACGACCAAAACACAGGCCCTGCCTTGGGTCGGAACAGGCAGTCCCAGCGCCGGGCCGGCTGGTTCTCAAACGCGGGAGCTCTGAGGTATCAGAATGCCCCGCGCCCCCTGGGTTTTGATTCTGAACTTCGCTGTCCAAAGCGCTGGTACCTTCTTTGGCGAAAACAACTGCGCGTTGGCACCGAGGTCGGGAAGGCGTTCCAGACGCAAACCTGGCGGGAGACCCGGATGCCAGGCGGGTCGGGGTCCGCTCCCGGCCTCCCGGAGTTCAGCCCGGGCGCCAGGCCCGCCCGCCTCGCTTCCCTTCCTTCTTGCCCCGGGGCCCGACGTGGGCGCTTTACCTCCGAAACCCGCTTCCTAGGCGGAAGGCCGTGCCTCCCCGCGGCCGGGGCCTGATTTCGGTCTTCAAATTGCGCGCGGGGACCGCATCCGGGGCAGGAGGGCGGGGGGCGCTCGAGCCTATGAGAGCGGCGGTGGCGGGCCCGAGGGGCGGGGCCTAGAAAGAAGGCGGGGCCCAACGGGCGGGGGGCCGACCGAGCCAGAGGGGCGGGGCTGAGAAATGAGGCGGGGCCCGTGGTGGGCGGGGCGGGGATAGAGGGGCGGGGCCAGCGGCCAGAGGGGCGGGGCCAGCGGCCAGAGGGGCGGGGCCCGCGGGATATCTGGGCGCTGGTCTCGCGGCGCCGCGTGAACCCAGCGGAGACGGAGCTGAGGGTCGACCCTGCGGAGGCTGGGCAGTGCGCGGGCCGTGCGGAGGCTCTGAGCCGGCTGTGCGGAGGCTGTGCGCGGGCTGTGCGGTGGCTCTGAGCCGGCTGTGCGGAGGCTGTGCGCGGGCTGTGCGGTGGCTCTGAGCCGGCTGTGCGGAGGCTGTGCGCGGGCCGTGCGGTGGCTCTGAGCCGGCTGTGCGGAGGCTGTGCGCGGGCCGTGCGGAGGCTGTGCGCGGGCTGTGCGGTGAGTGCTGCCCTCACCCCTCCGCGGGGCCTGCAGTCCTGGGCCCGCTCCCTCCATCCTCCGGAGCCGCGCGCCCGCTCTGGGACCGGCTGGGCCTGCAGCTGCTCCCGGGAGGCGGAGGCGAAGGGCCCGATCGGGGCAGCGGGCCTTTTGTTCTGCCGCGACGGGGGTGGCGAGGGCTTGCCCGGAGGCCCAGGGAGCAGGAGTCCGGCCTGGGTGGTGGGTACGGGGAGGAGACCCGGCTGGCCGGACCGATAACTCAGAGGCCGGGCCAGGAGCGGCCAGGCCGGTGGTGAGGGGTAAGGAGGTGGCGGGCGGGAAGCCGGAGGCTGGACCCGGGGCGAGGAGCCCCGGCCGCGGTGGGGGGAGGGGGAAGCCTCGGAGGCCGGGCCGGGGGCCGAGGCCGGGCAGCAGGAGGCTGGGCCCGAGGGGGGATGCAGCGGGATGCTTGGGCAGTGAGAGTGGCCGGGGTTGCGGGCTGAGATTTGGATGGGGAAGAGGAGATTTGAATGGGGAAGGGGAGATCCGGATGGGGAAGGTGATGGGGAAGAGGAGATCCGGATGGGGAAGGGGAGATCCGGATGGGAAGGGGAGATCCGGATGGGGAAGGGGAGATCTGGATGGGGAAGAGGAGATCCGGATGGGGAAGGGGAGATCCGGATGGGGAAGGGAGATCCGGATGGGGAAGGGGAGATCCGGATGGGGAAGGGGAGATCCGGATGGGGAAGGTGATGGGGAAGGGGAGATCCGGATGGGGAAGGTGATGAGGAAGGGAAGATCCGGATGGGGAAGGGGGAGATCCGGATGGGGAGGGGGAGATCCGGATGGGGAAGGTGCGGAGGAAGACGGGCGGCCGGAAACAATGCCCAGAGGGCAGGAGTCCTCGGGCAGGAGGCCGGTGTGGTGCGGCGGCTGCGGCGCTGGCTGCGGCCTCCCTCTATGGGACTGGGGCTGTGGTCTCAGATATTTTCTGTATCGGGTTAAGGGTTTAGGTTTTTCTCGCGGTAATTGTGTGGCTCAGTTTTCCCGCGAAGTCCCTGGAAGCTTTAAACTCCTGTTCTTTGGAGACCTCGTGCACCCTTCCAGCTCGCCCATCCCGGTGGCTTTGTATCCAAGGCCGGGGTCACCGGGGAGCTGCTTTGAACCCCACCCCCATCTGCTCTCACCCCCTCCCAGGGCCGTTCTGCTTAAAGTGTGCCTTGTTTTCAAGGCAGCTGCTGCTTTCCTTGTGACACCCAAACCAACAAACCAGTAACCAATCTTGGCAACTCTTTCTCAGCTCCTTTCCCAGTTAGCCGCCAAGCCACCTTGACCTCCTGCGTGCCCACTAGACCCGTCTACTGCTTTCCATCACACCCTAGGCTCTCTCCCCTGGTTACAGGCCTCCACACTTCCAGACCTGCTGCCCTCTCCACCCCACCCCCTATTCTTGATAGCACAGGCGGAGGGATCTTGACAAAATAAAAACCTAGAAAGCCATTCCTTTGCCCAAAAGATAAACCCAGTTTCTTAACAAAGCCAAGCCCAGGCTGGCTCCTTGGTCCCCTCCCCCGCCTTATCTTTCCATCTGGGGCCTCTTCACTTTCTACGTAGCCAAGCGGATCTTTTGTTTTGTTTTTATTAATCCTCACTTGAGGATATTTTCCCCTTGACTTTTAGAGAGAGTAGGAAGGAGGGGAAGAGACAGAGACACACCAATTGGTTGCCTCCCACAGCCCCAACCAGGGCTGGGAATCTCGCCTGCAACAGATACAGGCCCTTCATGGGAATTCAACCGTGGACCAATGGAGGCTCTATCCACTGAGCTAAACAGGCCAGGGCAGCCATACGGATCTTCATACTTGTTCTCTGCCTGCTACACTTGGCATTCCCTCTCTCCCTCCACATCACATTTGCTTGAGGAACCCCTATGTATGTTTCTATTTTTTTTAATGTATATTTTTTATTGATTTTTTTACAGAGAGGAAGGGGGGAGGGATAGAGAGTTAGAAACATGGATGAGAGAGAAACATAGATCAGCTGCCTCCTGCACACCCCCACCTGGGGATTTGCCTGCAACCAAGGTACATGCCCTTGACCTGAATCGAACCAGGGACCCTTCAGTCTGCAGGCCGAGGCTCTGTCCACTGAGCCAAACCAGTTAGGGCTATGTTTCTATTCTTACTAAAGACTTCAAAGTTTTCCTATTTAATGTGTCCCGTTTGCATGTGTCACTTCCTAAGAAACAAAGTCATATCCTCTGCAGTTGCTTGTTCACTGGATTTTTTCCTCATACCCAGGGCCTGGAACTTTCCACCCTGCTAATTTATGTTTCCTAATTATTACGCCCAATCCAGAAAAGCTTTCTGTTTCAGGATTACTTAGCAAATTAAAAGATGTGGGTCAGAGAGGAATGGTATAGGTGAAACATGGGGTGGCTGTAACAATGTGAGTGTGCAAGATTGTAACTGGTGCTAAGCATGGTGGTTAGACCAGCCTGTATGAAAGTGTCTCCGGGGTACTGATTTTATTACTGTCGTAAACCCCGATACTCTCAGGGTTTACTACAGAACTCTGCACACATGTATGTACAACACAAAGTTTGAATGTGTTGTACATACATGATCTCTAAGAATGAAATGTGAAGCTCAAACCATTCCTATCACAACCTGATTGAGCTTTGGTTTTGTTCTGCTCTTTTGCAAAAGAAGGCTGTTGAAAGCTACCATGTATTTTAATGAATGGATGGACAGTTTATTGGAGTTTGGCAGTAAAACCTGTTCACAGTAAAAAAAAAGATGAAACTCTGTACTTCATTAAATCGGTTTTGCTTTTACTCTCATTATCCTGGAAAAAAGGCCTTGCCTCCTGTCGTTCTCAAAGACTGATATCTTACCTGATAAAGACAATTACAATGCTTCTTTGCTGTTCTGCTTTCAAACCTAATTTAACACAATCTCTTACTGCTTCATCCCCCTTCTAATGCTACAAAGCAATCTTTATTGTCATGAATGGCATTAAGTCCATTCTGGTGCCTACTATTAGTTTTTTTAAGTCATGCTTCACAGATGGGAGCACTGGCTGCTGTTTGTGGGACTAGGAGACGTGTGGGAACTCTTAGACTAGGGGTGTCGAACTCAATCAGAGAAGGGGCCAAAATCTAAAATCCAGCCTAAATCGCAGGCCGAATGGTTTACTGAACAGTCATAAATTGTCATTGTGATGAAAACGCAGCGGAGTGCAGTGATGACAGCGCGGTGCGGGCCACATTGCAAGGCCTGGCGGGACGGATTTGGCCCGCGGGCCTTGTGTTTGACACATGTGTCTTAGACGGTTAGATCCTGTTTTGTACACGTTTAACAAACAGGAATGTAATGGAGGGGGCTAGGGAACAGGTCCTCTGTCGTCAGAGGACCCGAGGCCGGGTCCCAAGGGCTGCACTTACCAGCTCGTCCATAAATGAAGCATAAGTAATCTACACGCTCCATGAGGTGGTTGTGAGTATAAAATGCAGTATCAGTGACAATGCTTTGTGAGTCTCTATGTAAATTTCTCTGCCTATATTGTTCTTGCCTTCATATTGCTAATAGAGCTTCTGAATCAGGATGGAGTAAGGTGACATTATCTGACACAAGCTTGGCCTTGCCTGGCCTCTGCCTTGTCGGGCCACTTTGGAATACCAGTGAGCATTGTCTAAGCCCACATCGGGATAGGATCCTGGTCTCTCCCATGACCCGATAGTCTCAGGGTTCGCTCCAGAACTGCACACCGTTGGTGTTCGGTAGGTCATTATGGGACAAATGAATCAGTACCCCTGAGACTAACTTCTCAGTTTCAGACGTGCTCTGGCAGGCAGGTGGCTGTAAACCGAATCAGCTCCTACTTATACGGAGGAGTGGTTCTCAGCGGGAGGAGGGAGGCCTTATCGCTGATCTGTGATTTTTTTTTTTTATAAAAGATATCCCAGGTCCTCCACTCTGCCTGGTTGTCATACAACATATTTAGGTCTGCAAGGACTTTCCCATTCCCCCCCTGGTCCTCCAAAAAATACTGTCTTAGGGCCTCAGAAGAGGGGAAGACAGACCCCTTGTACGGCTGTGGCTCTGAAGTGGGGAGCACGCTAGTCTGTCTGGGTTTTGTTTGCATGACGCAGCTAAAACTTCATTTTGTTGTTTTTAATTTTATTTGCCAGTGGTGTGTTTTCACCTTCATTATAGAATAAATATTAAAAGATCCACTTTGCCAGGCCCAGGGACAATATCCAGTGTTGGTGTTTCTTATAAATCCCTAAAGAAATTCAGAGACCAGATGGGAAACAATTTCAGCAGAACCTCAGGCACATGATAGCAGAAATCTTATCCAAACCATTGTGCAGAGTATGTTCTTTCTGTTTCGCTTACTAAATCTGGAAGTGGGGCAGCTTTGAGACTTTGCCCCCGGCAGGTAATAGACACACTCCTGGCGTTTTTCATGTTCTTTGACAGAGGCATGGTCTTCCAGAAGTCCTTCTTCCAGAAGGTTCCTGTAGAGAGAAACCGAGATTGGAAAATATGTCTTCATGACTTTATACTGGCTGCTTACCATGAAGTTGGTTATTTCACTTTAAGTAACCCAGACGCATCAGAAGCACCCTAACCATCATTTCTGTTTTCTCTGTTAATTAAAGTAAGTCTACCATGTACTATTTTTTAAAATACATTTTTACGGATTTCAGAGAGGAAGGAAGAGGGAGAATAGAAACATCAATGATGAGAGAGAATCACTAATCAGCTGCCTCCTGCATGCCCCCTACTGGAGGTCAAGCCCGGAACTTAGGCAAGTGCCTTGACCAGAAATCAGTCTGGCTATTCATTTCAGTACCAGGGTTTTGTTTTTTTCCCTCCTGGTTCATAGGTCAACGCTAAACCACTGATGCACACCGGCTGGCTACTGTGTACCATTTCCGTGTCTCTGCAGTCCGTTTCTTCCATGTAACTTAGGCCTTTGTCTCCTCTTGATCAGAGCTTCTCGTTAGGGATTTTTGTTTCCTTCCCTGGAAAAATTAATGGTATTACCCTTCCTATATGTGACTAAGCTGTGTGCCCCTCGAGACAAACAGATCCTGGTTCGCACCCTGGCTCTGCCACTTCCCAGTTGCTTAGCTGCTCTAAGAACTATGAAGTGGGAATCATGATGCCTCAGCATGGTTGGGAGGACTGACCAGAAATAGTAAATAAATAATCCATACGTGACAGAGCCCAGATGAGCCCGCCAGAGGGCAGCTGTTATTACGTAACACTTTGTTCCCAACACTCACGTGACATAGGCATGGTGGTTTTCGGACCCTTTCTTTGGCTAGCAGTTTTGGTAAATCTTATAATTTTTTTTGAGGGATCCATATTCATGGAGATGATTCAAAAGTGAGCAACGTTAGTTCTTTGTGTGTCATTTAGAGATTTAAAACTCATTAGGGCAGAGACCAGGCACCGGAACAGCCTATGTGGGTGACACGTTAGCCGAGTAGGAACCGCTCAGACTGGTTATACTAATTTAATATTATTTAATATCTCATTTTGAAACCTTTGCCATTAGCACACTTTCTAACTTCATTTTAATACCAGGGTTTTGTTTTTTCCCCTCCAAATTTTAATACTTAATCATTTCAAGTCAAAATTTCAATTTTGCCAAGAAAAATTAACTTTTATTCCTCTGCCTTAACTCTGTAGGTGATTAATTCTGCTTTACTTCTTATCGCACTGATTTTTGAAGCTCTGACTCTCGTGGCTTTAGTGCTGAAAGGATATAGGGACTAGAGGAGATGGAGATTCTAAGACCGGATTTCCAGTTGTCTTATTTCCATTGGTAGACATACTTAGAACTTATCCGGGACCTAATACCATCAATATCCTGAATTGATGAAAATAATTATGTACAGACAGAAGCAGATAGTGTTAAGTCACTGCTGTGCCAGGATATGTTTTTAAAACCCCTGTTGTATATTTTCCTATTGATGTTTTGTCATCTGAAACTGTCCTAAGAACTTAAGCTCCTGTTAGCATTGAGGGCATTAAGTTTCCCCACAGGGGATAATGTTTTTTTTCCTCCTAAGATGAGATCACCAGCCCCGTCCCAGCTTGCCTGCAGCAGGCATTAGCTAATGGCCATGAGGTAATGCCCAGTCTGACACTAGCTCCTGCAGGCAGAGGGCACTGCTCCCAGGGGTGCGGCTGGTGTCTCCTTCGGGAAAAGCAGATGGTGACAGTGAGAGCAGATGTGCGCCTATCTGATGCAATGAGGATTTTATTCACCATTACCTAATCTTTTCATAGTGTGTGAAGGCCCACTGACGCTGTTGCAATATACAGTGAGTGGCCAGATTTTATTTATTTATATATATATATATATATTATTGATTTTTTACAGAGAGGAAGAGAGGGATAGAGTTAGAAACATCGATGAGAGAGAATCATCGATCAGCTGCCTCTTGCACACCCCCTAGTGGGGATGTGCCCACAACCAAGTATAATACATGCCCTTGACCGGAATTGAACCTGGGACCTTTCAGTCTGCAGGCTGATGCTCTATCCACTGAGCCAAACCGGTTTCGGTTTAGTGGCCAGACTATTATGATCTCAGAACGCATAATAACCTGGCCACTCAGTGTATATATTATTCAGATACTAATAATGAAGGGACAAAGTATATTATAGTGTTTGTTCCTGAGAAATCCCTCTCAAATAATTAGACTCTTTTAAATTCTATTCTGAAGGAATTCATGTTATTTTATTTTAGCCACCTTCCTAAAACAAAACTGTCTATCTCTGAGATCAGAAAGTATACATAGGATACCCTAGGAAACCAGACAGTCCACTGAAATCATATCTAGTCATTTTCTTTGTCCATTTCCAAGTCTTGGACGGTTTTTCCCAACAACCCCACTGTACGCATGACTTTAAGCCAATGGTCTTCTGACCTCTTCTGAACTGACCTCTTGGCAAGATCTGAAGCAGCCCAACCCTCCTGGGAAGACTTCTGTGCGCTCTGGTACCCCACATTCACCTGATTCCGCCGCCGCCACCACCCACCACCCCCTCTCTCTGGCCTACTTCCTCCAGGAGCCCTCTCAGTACCAGAGTGCCCGTATTTCTCCAGCCCTGAGCTGTCCCTGGGATCCAGCCTCTTACCCACCGTTATCCACTGTCCAACTCTAGGTCAGACTCCATCACCACTGGCCAGAACTGTTCCGGAAGGCTTTTCGCTGGCCTGTGTCCAGGCTTTACAGCTGCTGCCCTCTGCCTGCAGCCAGGGCGGGCTCCGGGAAGCAGGCTGTCCCTCCTGTGCTGAGAGCACTCCGTGGCTTCCCCTGCAGCCGGGGCAGAACCGGAGCTGCCCTGGGCTCCGAAGGGCCTGTGTGACCTCGCCTTCCCTGCTTAACCTCCCTTCGCGCCTTCCCTCCCTTTACCGTCTGAACTGCCTTCCTGACCATGAATACACCAGGCCCTGGCAGGACCTCTGCCTGCTGGTCCCTCCGCCGGCAAGGGCAGCCCCTACTGGTATCCTTCATGGACTTAGCTCTCAGTGTAAAACTGTAACTATTCTTCCTCAGTTAAGAAAGAAAAAGATGTTGAGGAAGTAACGGGCTGCATTGCACACACCCTTACAAAGGATTATTATCATTCTCGGCTTCAATTCACAGAAACCTTTATCGGTGCGGAGGGAGGAGCGTAACCTAATGGGGAAGTGTCCTTGTTACGTATTAACTTGGAGAAATCATCTTTGGAATAATGAATTGTGGGAATCTCTTTCACGGCCCGCGTGGAAAGGGTTCCCATTCAGGGTTCGGGTTCTGGAGAAGGGCCGCACACAAATGAAAAGACTTGAAGAAATTCAATTTGGTGATATGGGGGGCCAGTCCAACCTTAGTGGGCGAACTTACCCCTGCTCTGGCCCTGCCATCCCTTTTCTTGAGGCTCTGGGGAAAACATCTTAGGCAACATAAACGGAAATTTACATGTAGCCCTTAGGCAGGAAATAACAGACACTTACATGGGACAAACAAGGTGGAGGCTGCTTCAGCTAACAATGTCTCCACTAAAGAGTGGTTAGAGCAATTCAGGTTGTTGACCAGCCTTCCTGGCTTCCTGACATCTCTCTCTAGTGAAACATTTGTTTCCAGCAATGAATATAAGGCAGTGATGGGATAGTGACTGACTATTTTCCTTATATCCTAGTTAACAGAAGGATCCATGGAGAACAGTGAAAACTCAGTGGATGCTAAGTCCATCAGGAATTCGGACATGTGAGTATGCCCAGGGGAGCCATGTAAGGAGAGGAAGACGGTTGTGATACGGCAGGTTCTGAGGAGAGGAAGACGGTTGTGATTCGGCAGGTTCTGAGGAGTGGGGGAGCAGAAAGGACGGGGCGCAGAGAGACCAGCTCTGCTTTCTACTCAGCCGCTGTGTGGCTCTCCGCATGCTAACCTGTCCCCCGAGTCTCCTCTTTAAAGCAAAGATCTCTCAGGACTGGGTAACACGGAGGGAAAGACCAGATCCATTGCTGTGCCCCTACTTGGAAGTCCTGTCCCAGAAGCAGAGGGACCTCACAGGGCAGGCAGGACTCAGAGGCTCCTGTCCCTCCCCAGACTGCTCTGCAGAGTGAGAGGGTGCATGTTGGGGGGCCAGGGGGTGAGGAGGACGTGTTTTTGGGCTCCTGTTTATTTAGGAGTTTTAAGGCTAACATGAAATGCCAATTCTTAATCTGGAGAAGAATTGCCTAGTTATAGATTATCTTTTACTGTTTATTTTCTCATTCTTTCTGTTTGGGATATTCTGTGTGTTAATGCTTCCAATACCCAGCAGATAGAGAAAGGAAAGAGATAAGACTCAAACAGTCTTGCCGAGACCAGTTTGGCTCAATGGATAGAGCATCGGCTTGGGGACTGAAGGGTCCCGGGTTCGATTCCGGTCAAGGGCATGTACCTTGGTTGCGGGCATATCCCCAGTAGGGGGTGTGCAAGAGGCAGCTGATCAATGACTCTCTCTCATCAATGTTTCTAACTATCTCTCCCTTCCTCTCTGTACAAAATCAATAAAATATATATATTTTTTAAAAACAAAACTCAAACAGTCTTAATTCATGTCTTTATTATCTGTTTGGGATCTCTTGTGTGTGATACTTTACATTCTAAAAGTTTAGTTCTGGGACCCAGTATTATTATTTCAGACCGTTCAGGGAATTACAGGCTAATTCTAGTACTAACTAAATAGTAGTATTACAACAGTACCACTAACAGGTTGCCCATAAGAATTTAGCTATGATTGTTTAGTAAAGGAATTTTCCTAGAAATTAAGCTTTGGAATACAAGCTCATTTTAGAAGATTTTAATTTCTTTTTAAACCCATTCAAAATGATTTACACATTTTCGTGTCTTTTTATGTCGTACTAGAACATAATTTAATGGCAAACTGCATGGGAGCCCAAAATAGATTTAGGTCTGTTTTAATCCTATGGTATATATGTTTCATCAGGTTCCCAAGCTTTTTTTGAGTCTCTGCTACTTATCAGTATGTCCCCTACCAGTGTAACTATTTTATTATTGCCTGTACAGGAGCATGTGCCCTAACAGGCAGCAGGAGGTGGTGGGGAATTAATTTCGGGATCCATTATCTGTGTGACCTTCAACAAGTCACTCAGCTCTCAGGGTTTGAACTTGCTTATCTGTAAAATGCGGGATCTTCGCCTTTAGTTACATATAACTAATCGCTTGTTTTTTACATTGACCTCCTTAACTTACAACTTACTGTTCTAATCTTTTTCCAGCCACTTTTTCAGAGCTGTGTGTAACTACAGTGCCCTCAGATAAAGTGCAGAGTGCGAGGACTGTAGATAGCGATGTTTGTCCCAGACCTGTTGTTTCCTGATTCCTGATCTACACCAGGGGTCATGCTTGTGCCCTTGGTCAAGTCTTATTGGAACATAACCACACCCATTTGTTTAAATATCGCCCTGGGCTGCTTTGACCAGCAGAGTGGAGGAGCTGCCACGGACCCTGTGTGGCCTGCAAGCCTAAAATGCTTAGTATTTGGCCCTTTTGAGGGAAAGTTGACTGGCCCTGGTCTGGACAATAGAGGTTTTTGGATAAGTGGCCTTCAGACAAGTATTTCCTATTATTTGCAATAGTGAGTCCATGTATTAATAAGTTTTTAATTTGTTCAGCTCAGAGGTTGTAAGGAGCAATTTAGAAATTGTGATACATAGTGTGCTTTGAGTCATATCTGCCTTTCGTTGGTTTCCTATCATTTCAGGGTAATTTTTAAGATCTTACTCTTACCTTGAAAGAGAAACTATTTCACAAAGTTACAAAAAAATTTTTTAAGTGAAAAATATATTTGATGGAATTTTAGTAAAATTTAGAGGAAAGCAGAGTATAGAGACTCAAACCCTGCACTCTGAAGGCCAACATATACCCTCAGCCTTGGTGCTGGCACGGCATCTGCGTGACCTTCGGCACCTCACAGCCTCGAGGTGGTCACTTCCTCTTCTGCGAAAGGGATTCTACAAATGCTCACTGTGCTTATGGGCCATACGGTTGTATCAATGACAACAGCAACCTTTGTAAACTGTTGTTTGATTTCCTAACAGAAAGCCCTTCCATGGCAGCAAATCAATGGACTCTGGAATATCCTCACAAAATGACAATACTTACAAAATGGATTATCCTGAAATGGGCTTATGTATAATAATCAATAATAAGAACTTCAATAAAAGTACTGGTATGTATCATGACCTAATTTGTTTTAATTCTTCAAATGTTTGTACCATTTACCGTATTTTTCGGACCATAAGACGCACCGGACCATAAGACGCACCAGTTTTTAGAGAAGGGAAATGAAGAAAAAAAGATTCTGAAACAAATAGTGTCCTAAAATATTTTATGTGCATTAAAACCCAACATCACAGTCATAAACACATGTAATCAACCCTGTAAAGTAAACAGCAGCATTTAGAACCATTTTAGAGCCGGGCAAGCACACAGAGCCGGGCAAGTAAAAAAACTTTTTTTTTAAAGTATATGTGTAGGCTATATTTGGACCATAAGACGCAGGGACCTTTTCCCCCCCACTTCTGGGGGGAAAAAAGTGTCTTATGGTCCGAAAAATACGGTATATTTGGTATAATATAAATGGTAGTATTGCTGTTATTACATTACTAGAGGCCCAGTGCACGAATTCGTGCACAGGTGGGGTTCCTCGGCCTGGCCGGCAATCAGGGCTGATGAGGGTGGGGGGACAGCCAGCGGGGCAAGGGTGAGGGACTGAGAGAGGTTGGCTGATTCCACAAGGAATCAGGCTCCCTCCTCCCTCCTGTCTGGGTCTGGGGTGCAGGTGAACCAGATTTGGTGCTCGCAGGGTCCCAGCAGCGAGGTCTGGGTCAGTGTATGTCTTAACTCCCGTCCGGTCGTTCGGTCGTAATGATTGCTTAGGCTTTTTATATATATAGGTGACACAGAATAGCCCTGACGTGGAGATAGAGCAGGATGCTACAGGCTCTACAACACAGAGGAACTCCTCTGTAGCTAATCTTCTACCACCATCAAAATCTCTCCCTTTTCCAATACCTAGCCTCCTAGCTGAGTGTTGGCCTCTCTTCTGTAACCTTTACTTCTTTATCCATCTGCCCCCTCCTCTTTTATGCTAATGAGAGGATCACAACAAATAGTAAGCAGTAGTATGTTTCCTTTCCAGGAACTGCAGGGTACCTCAGAGGTATTGTCTCACCTAATTTTTACAGCAACCCTGAAAAGTAACCACACTTAGATGCTAGAGGTTAAGCTCCCTGCACAGAGTTCCACAGGTAACTTAGTGGCGCCTTACCCAGCTCTGAGCCAACTTCCTATTTCTTCACGTCCTGTGCCCTGTTGACTTTTTCCTCTTCCCTGCAAAGATGACAGACTCCCCGTCTCAATGAGACCTTTCTTTTGCCCTGCTTCCTCGTAAGTTTGGATCTATTTTCTGTCTCCTTCCCTGCGTTTTAAAAGCTTGTGCTTTCAGCTTGCCATCTTCACTTCCTTCCAACCCCCTTAAACTGGTGTTCCCTGTTTCCACCTCCAGCACGGAACTGAGACTCCTGTTAGGTTCACGTGGCATGATCACCAAATCCCCTTCTCGGCCTCTACGGTGTACAGTTTGAATCTAATCATTCCTTTCAGAATTTTTTAGAAGATTAGAACAGTAACTTGTTAAAAACAAAATTCTTCACAATCCTAAAAAGCTAATTAACATCGTGATATATTGCTTGCTATTTTTTTTCCTTGATAGTTTCTGTCAAAGACTAATTTTTTTCATAATATGCAAGCAACATTGCATCCTTCTTGTTCTACTTACTGTAATATAAGCATTTCTTATGGTGCCATATAATTTTTTGTATCTGATATTTTAATGATTATATAATATTCCACACCCTAAATATACCATTCACTTGATTTGCAAACTTGACCATAAGAATGAACAGTTTGGCTATTTTTGTCAATTTTTTTTCACCTATTAATTGATGCTCTGATAATTCTTTGAATTTGCATATTAAATCCTAATAGAATTAATTTTTATTTAAAGACACTAGAGGCAGCAGATCCTGAGTGGTGAAAATGGCAAGGAGTGAGATTACACTGGAAAGAGAAGCAGACTTTGATGTTAGGTTTGCCAAAGAAGTGAGGAGCGATCAATTGAAAATAGATGTCTAAACCTGAGTGGAACCATATTTTTACTGCCTTCGTTGGCTATAAATTGAGACGCCACATTCAGCCATTAGATGTTGTGCCTCACGTTGCTAGTAATGATTCCCTGCTCCTGTAGAATTTTACAAAATTCTACAGGAGCAGAATTGTTTTATAAAACAATTCTGTGTTTTATAAAAAAGGTGGTCATTCCACTCTTTCCCTAAAAACACTTAGACCAGTAGCCTGATGTTAGCCTCAGGGTGAGCTTCTCTTCTGCTTTGAGATTTCAAGGACAGGTTTTCACAACAATCCCTGGCAGTCGGGCGTTTTCTCTTCTACCACTCAGTGCCCACAGGACCAGAGTTCAGTCACCTTGTCCCACCGTGCATGTCCTCAGCCTTTCCTTGGGAAGTCAGCCCTGGCCCGTGTGGCTCAGTTGGTTGGGCATTGTCCCTGGCACAGAAAGGTTGCAGGTTTGATTCCCAGGCAGGGCACCTGCTCTGGTAGCTGGCTCCATCACCAGTAGGGGGCATGCAGGGGCCAACCCGTTGTTTCACTTTCATGTCGATATTTCTCTCCTTCTCCCTTTCTCTCCCTTCCTCTCTAAAAATTGTTAAAAAGCAACCGCCTCCTTAGCGCAGTAGGCAGCGCGTCAGTCTCATAAAAATTGTTAAAAAGCCCCTTGGAAATTATAAAAATAATTTATGCCACTGAAACCAGTTTGGCTCAGTGGATAGAGCGTCAGCCTGCAGACTGAAAGGTCCCGGGTTTGATTCCGGTCAAGGGCATATACCTTGGTTGCGGGCACATCTCCCAGTAGGGGTGTGCAAGAGGCAGCTGATCAATGATTGGGGCTAGTTTCTCTCACCGATGTTTCTAACTCTCTATCCCTCTCTCTTACTCTCTGTAAAAAAATCAATAAAACATATTTTAATAAATAAATAATAAAAATAACATATGCCCATAATAGAAATTTCAAATTAGCCAATAACTCATAATTACACTACTCATGAATAGTATTTTGGACATAAAGATATTCTTTTTTCCATTCATGCTTCTTAATTTTAATCAATTCTAAGGTGAGTTCCCCCCAATCTGAGTGCCTGGTAGAGTCAAACTGTACGTTCATGGGGAAGGGGCTGCTAAGGTGTGATGAGAGCCCGGGACCCTGGGCCGAGGCCTCACACCGGCTGTGCTGCTACGGAAAGGGCCTGAGCTCCTGTGTGCTCGCGCCCTCCGTCTGGACAGGCAGAGCCAGTCGTGGTAACTGTCCCATGGTGGGTGGAAGGATTAAAGGAGATTGCCCACAGCAGAATGCCGGTGAGCGGTATCATTTAGTAATGGTTTGTGTTTTCATTTCTTATTTCTTAAAAGGATATTGTGAAAGCAGCAATGTATATTAAAATTGTGGGGAACATAAAATCAAAGAAATACACTTCCTCTCAGTGTGTGAGATGTGTGTATTGTTAGATACATATAATTTTTTTCTCTAAAAAATTATTATTGCCCTAGCTGGTTTGGCTCAGTGGGCAGTGTCGACCTGTGGACCAAAGGGTTCCAGGTTCCATTCCGGTCAAGGGCATGTACCTTGGTTACAGGTTCCTCCCTGGCCCAGGCCCTGGTTTGGGTTAGTACAGGAGGGCCCTGGTTGGGGCTAGTTTCTCTCACATTGATGTTTTCCTCTGTCTTTCCTCCCTGTAGGACTCTCTTTCACGGCCCGCGTGGAAAGGGTTCCCATTCAGGGTTCGGGTTCTGGAGAAGGGCCGCACACAAATGAAAAAACTTGAAGAAATTCAATTTGGCGATATGGGGAGCCATGTGGCAGTCCAACCCTAGTGAGAGAACTACTCCTGCTCTGGCCCTGCCATCCCTTTATGGAGGCTCTGGGGAAAACATCTTAGACAGCATAAACAGACATTTACATGTAGCCCTTAGGCAGGAAATAACAGACACTTACAGGGGGCCAACAAGGTGGAGGCTGCTTCAGCTAACAATGTCTCAGCTAAAGGGTGAGTGGTGAGAGCAATTCAGGTTGTTGACCAGCCTTCCTGGCTTCCTGTCCACATCTCTCTTAGTGAAACTGATTTGTTTCCGGCACCTCTCTATCTCTTTTTCTCTCCCTAAAGATCAATGAAAAAGTATCCTTGGGCAACAATTAACAACTACTAAATAAATAAGTAAAAATTTTTAAAATTATTCTTTAGTCTTTTTTATGGAATGACCATTTCCCCTGGCAAAATTTTGTCTACAGTAATTTTAATGGCAACACAGTATTCCATTATATAAATGAATCATAACGTATGTAAACCAAATCACCCTTTAGGCATTTGAGTTTCTGTTGTCACTGTCCAGCAGCTGTTATGAAAGACATCCTGGTGACGAAAGCACACTGGCGTCTGCTTACACTATGGCACACTGAAAGCTCAAATGTCTCAGATGCTCAGAAATTAAAATGACTGGGTCACTGTGATAAGAATAATTAAATTTATTGTGGGTTGTGTGAATTATTGAGAAGTTCATTTCACTTCAGAGCAGTTAATCTTTTTTAAAAAATCCAAATAAAAGTAATGCTTCCTGTTTCAAGGAATGGCGCCTCGGTCGGGTACCGATGTCGATGCAGCAAACCTCCAGGAAACCTTCAGGAACTTGAAATACGAAGTCAGAATCCAAAACGATCTTACCCGCGAGAAGATTGTGGAACTGTTGCGTGGCGGTAAGAAGTAATTAATAAAAGAATGCCTTCCTTGTCCAGTTTTATTCCAGGACCATGTTGTTATACATATCATATAATAAGACAGAAGAATTGTAGGACTGTACTGTGCATAATCCTACTCTGTGTATCTTATATAGGCAAGATCAGAGTTAATCGAGCCCCTCGTTGGGTTTAGATGATCTCTTAGTTCTGTTCGCAGTTTCTTAATCTTATTCCCATACTAGAGGCCCGATGCACAAAATTCATGCAAGGGGCTCGGCCCTAGCACCCCCAGCTTCATCCCGAAGGTCATTCAGAAGGTCGTTGGGCTGTCCAGTCTAATTAGCATATTTCACTTTTATTATTATCGACAGTATGTATGAGATTGTTGAATAGAGTTGTGTTGGGTTTTTTGTTTGTTTGTTTTCTTATTTGTAAACATTTTTCCAGTTTCTAAAGAAGATCATAGTAAAAGGAGCAGTTTTGTCTGCGTGCTTCTAAGCCATGGTGACGAAGGAGTAATTTATGGAACAAACGGACCTGTGGACCTGACAAAATTAACGAGTTTTTTCCGAGGGGATAACTGCAGAAGTCTGGCTGGAAAGCCCAAACTTTTCTTCATTCAGGTAATCTATAATTGAGCAACTGCGCTAAGGAGGATGCATTGGGGATTGATTCACTCCATTGTGGATTAGCCAAAGGAACTTTCCCTGAAGCTACTGAACTATTGCTACTTTCTTATTTACTTTAACTACCACTAGGAGATACAGACGAATCTTAATTTTAGACTTGCATCAAAGAGATTCTGCATAATTAACATCAACTTTTACATAGCCTTTGCATTTCTTAGAAATCAGTGATGTGTGTACACATTTTAAAAAAATAAATGTTTCTTCTCTAATGGCTAGGCCTGCCGAGGTACAGAACTGGACTGTGGTATTGAGACTGACAGTAATGCAGATGATGACATGGGGTATCAGAAAATTCCAGTGGAAGCAGACTTCGTGTATGCCTATTCTACAGCTCCTGGTAAGAAGTCACAACCCTGCCGAAACCGGTTTGGCTCAGTGGTAGAGCGTGGGTCTGCGGACTGAAAGGTCCCAGGTTCGATTCCCATCAAGGGCATGTACCTTGGTTGTGAGCACATCCCCAGTAGGGGGTGTGCAAGAGGCAGCTGGTCGATGTTTCTCTCTCATCGACGTTTCTAGCTCTCTCTCTCTCTCCCTTCCTCTCTGTAAAAAATCAATTAAATACATTAAAAAAAAAAAAAAAAAGTCACAACCCCTGGAAGTTATATGTACGCTTTAAACAATGGAGAGTATATTCCAAAGGCTGTCAATGTATTGATATCCATAAAAAATAGCTCACTTGTTTGTGTTTAGGGCACCTTGACCACAGAAAGGTCTCGAAAAGTGGTTTTTAGCCAAGTTTGGCTAGAAAATAGACACCTATAAGAAAGCAACTTACAGTGTCATTCATGGACCTAATACCAGATAGGATACTGTATCATCATATAGGCCAACTCGGCGCTTCACCCAGTTCATGGAATAGGGGAGAGGAATGTTTTCCAGGAATTCTTTGGAAGTGAAAAAGTTAAATAGGAGTCGTACTTGGAGGGTAGAAGTGTAATGAGGCAAAAGAAATAAAGTGATACATGAATAGGTTATTAGCCTCTGCTGTGTGTTGTGTGTGTGTGTGTGTGTTTTGCACATAGCATCATGTAAATAACTGTTGTGTGTACAGTTATTTATTTATTCAACTAACTCAGGCTATCCCAGAGTTTTGAAATACAGGATAAATGTATTTTTAGACAGAATTACGTCTTCAAATATAATGTTTTTAACCTTTAGGCATTTTTTCCAAGTAAAATATTTCTAAATAAAAGCAGTGAACCCATTTCCCATTGTGGACTTCAATACTCTGTAGTGAGTGTATCACACTGGATTCGGGTGCCCTGTAGACAAATTTAGGACACTCAGATGTGTGTCTACATAAGCAGTTTCCTTCTTGGATGAACCAATAGTCTGGTTGAAGACCATGCTCCTTATAACGAGCCTTCTGCCCCTGCATCTGCGTGTTCACCGTTCTTCCATCTGGGAGAAAGCCCGGAAGAACTTTCAGCAGCTCAGTGGTGAAGCTCATTGATGTTCCTTGTTTCCTGGTCGAAGCAGCGCTGTGTGCACCACACGTGTTTCTGTTGTTTTCTTTCCCCTCAGCATCATTTCCCTGAAACCAAACCTGCCATTTATTTACTTTTTTCCTTTGATGGCCGATAATACTGACGGAAGTTTGTGCATGTTTTGCCTCTATGGTTAGGTGGTCATTTAGAATCTGATGCCCATGGTGCTGTGGTTGTGTTTACCTCGTAGGTTACTACTCCTGGCGAAACTCAAAGGACGGGTCCTGGTTCATCCAGTCGCTCTGTGCGATGCTGAAGCAGTACTCGGACAAGCTGGAGCTCATGCACATCCTCACCCGGGTCAACCGGAAGGTGGCAACCGAGTTCGAGTCCTTCTCCTTTGACTCCACTTTTCACGCAAAGAAACAGATTCCGTGCATTGTGTCTATGCTCACCAAAGAACTGTATTTTTATCACTAAAGACATGTATAGTTTTTCTTTTTTTAGTTTCGTTTCCAAGTGGGAAAAATGATTTTATATTGTGTCTCCCCTCATTTAAATCTATTCTGGTACTCCCAGGGATACCTTCATAGCAATAGAGCCACTATGACGCTACCTCAAACTAAGAATCGGGTAGTTGAAATTGAATTGAATTAGGAATAAGTAAAGGGTAGCCATACAATTATAAGAAGTGATTGTAAATCAAAAGCTCTGATAATTGGCAAGTTTTAGTGGTGCTATGCTCTGAATTTTCAAGTAATTATGGAGTTAAACATTGAGTAACGATTCTCATTGATACTGATATGCTCTCATTCAAGAGTATGCATTCTAGTTTTCATCAAACTATTGCAATGATGATAGAATAATGTGTGGTGACGGGAATAACCCGTGTCCTAGAATTTAGGGGCCATGTGCATGGTCAAAGGCATGAGGATCTTGATTTGGGGATCGATATCTTTGGATGACTTAGCTGTGTGTTTAGGCCATTTATCAGAGCATATGGTAATGTTTATGCTGAACATGTATTTGTTGTAAAAAATCATGTTTGCTGTTGAAAAAGAACCTAAATATTTCACTGGAAAGTGTGAGCAATCTAAGTTGATACTCACCAGTAGGAGAGAGTTAGAACTCTAAGGTGCTCTTCTGCCCGCACGTTCTCCTGGTGTGTCCCTGAGCAACCGGAAGAGCTGATAGGTAAAAACCTCCCAGTGTGTCCCTGAGCAACCTGAAGAGCTGATAGCATCGTGAATTGAAGACATTCCATGGGAACACACTGAAATACAACTGAGATGGCACACCGAGAACTGTGAGCAGGACCCAGTAAGTCAGTGTGGGCCCTCTGTCATACAAGGTGGCTTGGGCCTAAGCACAGACAGCACAGCCTGTGTGATGAAGGCAGGAATGCAGGCTTCGGCTCCGGGAACAGGACTGTGTGCGTGGAGAGTGCCCCCAAGGATGCTCTCCAAATGCCCGAACCCAATCAGAAATGAGATGGAAGCTTCCAAAGATGATGATAGTCAGACAAAAACGAGCGCGCTCTGTTCTGCTGAAGTCTGCAATCGAAGGGAAACGGTGCTGTTATCATGGCTTACGGCTCTCCCAAATGCAAGGGCCGCGGCACACAGGACTGAGAAGGCATCCAGTCTCCATTGGCGCCCATGAAACAAGGCGGGGGAGCAGGCGTGTGCGCGCGCGCACACACACCCCCAGCCCTGGAGGCGGGCTCCAGCTCCTCACTCGGGAGGCCTGGCTCATTCTTCTCAAGCTTCCTTTTGCTCAAAGAAAGCAACTCCCACTTGTAAATGACGGGTTTTGGTGGAGTTTTTTTTTTTTTTACTATAACTTTTTCTAAGTAAACACAGCATGCAACCGTATCCACAAGTGTGCTCCTATATGATGATTTTGTAAAGAATTGTTACGAATTTTTATTTCAAAATATAAATTCTAACAAAATTACCAACATGGTCATGTGTCTTTGGTTGTTTTCTGTTGTTGTGCCACTAGTTGAAGTTAAAATGTTTGACTAATAGCTTCCATTGGGAGGGCCAGAGGATGCCGCAGGACCCTGTAGTCTAGGGGTGTCGAACTCAATCAGAGAAGGGGCCAAAATCTAAAATCCAGCCTAAATCGCGGGCCGAATGGTTTACTGAACAGTCATAAACTGTCATTGTGATGGAAACGCAGCGGAGTGCAGTGATGACAGCGCGGTGTGGGCCACATTGCAAGGCCTGGCGGGACAGATTTGGCCCGCGGGCCTTGTGTTTGACACACGTGCTGTAGTCAGATGTTTTGAGACGTGGCAGATGAGAGGTAGGTAAGCAGACCTCTGTTCTTCCGGCCTTTGCTGGACGCTCTGTCCCTAAAATGACCATGGCCACGAGGGTGCTGGGTTTGCAGAACCACAACCCCTAAATATGGCCATATTTTTGTTAGTTTTGTTGCTTTGTGGAAAGGTAACAGTAGAAAGGATACTGCTGAAATGGAACATTTCCCATCACCTAAGTTAAGTATGGCTAGTAGAGAGGGAAGTAGAACGTGGGCTACCCGCCAGAAACCATCGATGGTCACTGAGGGCCACCTCTGGGGGGCGGTGTTGTGACAGGAAAGGTGGTCTCTCTTGATTTTACGTACTTAGAAAAGGAATGTAAGAAAGTGTAAGTGTGGTGGTTTTAAATTTCTTCTTTTAAAATATTTTTATTGGTTTCAGAGAGGAAGGGAGAGAGAGAGAGAAACATCAATGATGAGAGAGAATCACTGATTGGCCGCCTCCTGCACACCCCACACTGGGGATCAAGCTCAAAACCAGGGCATGTGCCCTAACCGGAACTCTACCCCTGACCTCCTGATTCATAGGTCAACGCTCAACACTGAGCCACACCTTCTGGGCTTCTTCCAATATCTCTATAGTAAATAGATATTACTTTGAAATAAAGAACTAAATAAAATTCTCCTGATTGGGAATAGGAGATTCCTGTTTCCAAGGAATGGGGGGTGGCATGAATAACTTTTTTAAAGACTTTTAAGGCTATAGTTCTGTACTGTGTTGAGAAAATTGAGCCTATTCTAATCTCTCTACTATATGAGAAGTCTTAGGTGTGAAAAGTAAAACAACCCATAACTCAATAGAAAAATGGACCAAGATGTAAACAGGCTAAGTGTCCCTTACACCCAGGTAAAGAGCTTAAGCTCCATTGTAATAAGAGAAAAATGCACATTAAACTAAGGAATCACCTGTCATCTATTAGATTGGCAAAAATCCTCAAGTTTGATGACATTCTGTTGGCAGGTGGGGAGTTAAGGGTCCTGGTAAAACACAAAACATACTCAGGAGCCAGGCAGCAAGGCAAACTATTTCTACGTAGAAGGGTGTGCACACATGATCTGAAAGCGCGTGCACACACTGAGCAGGCTGCTGTGGTTTATAACCCCTGACGCACATGACCTGTCCTTGGCTCTTGATTGGAGCTCAGGCTCACAGTCTTTTGCAATTGGCTAATTCATGGGGAGGGATTGGCCTTTGCTGTTTCAAGATGGCAGCCCCCAGGGGAGCTGCAAGCCATGTGGCCAACATGGCAGCTGTCTAAACTTCTTTGACAGAAAAGATGACTTGTTCATTCTCATAGGGGCGAATGGGAAGGATGCATTGTGCCAGTGGGGGGAATGTGAAATGCTGCAGTTCCCTGGGGAGGAGACTCTGGCAATACCTATCAAATTATTCACTCTCTGAAGTAGCGTTCAGTTTTCCCACTTCTGGGAAAACAAAATGCCCATACACCTGCACATGTGCAAAATTGCATGCACAATTACTCATCACAGCACTGTTTTAATGCAAAAAAACAAACAAACAAACAACTGTAAAAACAAGTTAAATACCAATGGTGCATGCACACAGTGGAATAGGATTTGCTGTAAAACAGTATGAGGCGGATCAGAAGTTGCCAGCATGCATGGTTAAGCGGGAAACAGAAAGCTATAGAGAATATGCTCTATTTTGTGTAAAAAGGGAGTTGGGTGGGGGGAGAGAAGGTGTGGATAAGACGATGTATTTGCATAAAGAAATACCAGAAGAATTTAAAAATATATAAATGGAAATGGTGACTGCGGGCAGGGTGGAAGTGAGATTTCTCATGTTTGCTTTTCTATATCATTTTGACTTTTTAAAACCTTGTTGGGTGTTAGCTGTCTTCAAAAATGGAGTTAAAATCAAAGCAGAAGAGGGGATTGCACAAAACTATCTCAGTAACAAGAACTTGGGTCAGTGCAGGGATAAGGGTGGAGAGGGTGCTATGTTACGGGATTTTGTTTAGATTTTGTTACGGGATTTTTCCATCAGCTATGTTATGGGATTTTGTTTAGATTGTTTATTCCATGTTTTACCTCATCCTCTACAGATGTTAGTTGAGAAATAATAACTTTCTTAATAACATAACTGGCAGCTCAGTTGGTTATAGCATCATTCCCATATGCCAGCATTGTGGGTTGTCTCTCTCTCTCTCTCTGCTTTCTCTCTCTAAAACTGATAAATAAATTTTGAACTTGAGCTTAAAGTAATTCTCGGTATCACCTTTTTAGTTGAAGGAGCAAACTATAGTATCTGGTCCCTTAGTTTCTTAATTGATTTTTTTAATTGTTCCATCCTTATTCTTTGCGATATGATTATAATGAATTATCACCTGAAGGGCAGCCCAACAAATATCCACAAAGGGCTTTTTCATGCACAGAATCTCTACTGTTTGCCACATTGATAACAAAAAAACTGAGGGACTGACATGTTTAGAAATGTTTAAAAAAAACAAAGGCAAGCATATCCCTTTAAAGTTATTTTTGCCAGATTTAAACTTGGAACAAAAGCTATTAACTAGCATGTTATAGCTAAGAGTCCATTATCTAAACCACCCTTTGTTTTGAGGTGACTTAAATGTCATCTCAAAGACCCCATAGCCTCACGCCCCACACACCATTTCCTTAGAGGGAAGCATGCCTGGTCAATGTGTTGAAAGCTAACTCACTGATTTTACCAAAATAATTCCAAACACTCATTTCTGCCTGACAGGTTTAAGGTGCATTGGGGAGGCCATTCTGGTCGGAGGAGAGTCAACAAGAGGGAGAGCAAGTGAGGTGGAGGGGAGATGGTACAGGGCCTTGTAGATGCGGTACCTGGAAGTTCCACCTGAGGAAAGAGTGCACACGTAGAAGGATGCACACACATGGTCTGGAAGCACGTGCACACAGAGCAGGCGGGCTGGTCGGCTTTATAATCCCTTACGCACGTGACCTGTCCTTTGCTCTTGATTGGAGCTCAGGCTCACAGTCTTTCCAAATTGGCTAATTCAGAGGGAAGGGTTGGCTGCCTTGACTGGTTTGGCTCAGTGGATAGAGTGTCAGTCTGCGGACTGAAGGGTACCAGATTCGATTCCGGTCAAGGGCATGTACCTTGGTTGTGGGTACATCCCAAGTGGGGAGTGTGCAGAGGCAGCTGATAGATGTTTCTAATTCTCTGTCCCTCTCCCTTCCTCTCTGTAAAAAAAAATCAATTAAAAAATATTTTTTAAAAAGAACAAAGGTAGGGGTTGGCCTTTGCTATTTCAAGACGGTGGCCCCCAGGGAGCTACAAGCCATGCTGCCAACATGGCGGCTGCCAAGTCACGCAGTCCAAAATGGCGTCTGTCTAAACTGTTCTTTGACAGAAAAGATGACTTGTTTATTCTCACACAGGCAAACTATGTTCAACTGAAAAGGAAAGGAATGATTAAAGAAGAAAGGTTTCCTGTTCGCGCTAACAAGCTGAGCTGTTCTTGGCTCTATGCAATAGTTACTGATTCCATCTTCAGATAGTCAGTCCATAATCATGTGTCCTTTGGTCAGGACATCTGCTTTCCTGCAGAATTTACAGACAATGATTTGTAGAACAATGTTGATTTTAGCCGAGTCTAAAAGTCTGGCTCAGACAAAATATTCAAGGAACAAGTCATGCAAGGCAGTTCCTCTGGAATAGCTGGGTTTATGTCATTTTTCATAACTACAGCTAAGAAATAATTTTCACAAAACAGTCCCAGTTCATTTCAACTCAGTTCTCCCATCCCCACCTCACCTCCCACATTGCACTGCTTCTGTTGGGTTTCATGTGGTTTGATTAGCATCAGCCCTGAAACTGGCTAACTAGCTACCTTTTTCCCAGTGTAAACGCCAGCTTCTCTAAAATGGGGGCAATATGAAACCGGTTTGGCTCAATGGATAGAGCTTTGGCCTGCGGACTGAAGAGTCCCAGGTTCGATTCTGGTCAAGGTTATGTACATTGGTTGCGGGTGTTACGCCCAGACTTTGTGATCCCCAAGGACCACTAGGGAGCTGAGTCCGATGCAATAAACAAAAGAGCCTTTTCCATGCTAGCATGGGCTCTGTCCCACTCACGCTGGCAGCATGGCGGAAGAGAGAGCGAATTTCGCCCAGTCCAGGGGTTTTACTCCAGTCGGTGGTGATGTCACTGCCTCGGCTAACCCTTATTGGTTGGGTGAGGGCTAGGGTTCAGTTACAGAATGGAGGATAACTCCGCCCTGCCCCACAGTGGAGTCAGGAGCCCATCCTCGCCCCGCCTTACCCTCTCACTCTCATCGATGTTTCTAACTCTCTAACACTCTCTCTTCCTCTCTGTTTAAAAAAAAAAAAAAAGGTTCCAGGCCCAGCTCCATTAGCATTGCTCAGCTGCTGGGGGTCTGCTCTTAGCACCCTTGGGATACGCTTGGTGTACACGCTTGTTCCAGAGGGCATGCCTCAGACCCACTTACCATGCAGCCTTTTCTACAGCTGCCATGATGGAGAGGGCACTGTGGGAGCTTCTCTTTCAGGTTCCAAGCAGGAAACGGGGCACCAGTCCCTTCAAATTTATATTGATAGAACCCAAGACCAAGGCGCTGAGGAGTAGGGCCCCTTCTGAGACCCACACCTGTAGGAATCCC